AAGGCTGCAGGTTCAATCCCTGTATGGGACAGCTGCATATTCCTGCATTGCTGGGGGTTGGGTGATCCTCAAAGTCCCTTCCAATTCTACGACTTAGGGCTTTTTAAGCTATGGTTTTCCCAGTGGTGATGTATGGAAGTGAAAGCTGGACCATAAAGAAGGCTGATCGCTGAAGAATTGATGATTTTGAATTATGGTGCTGGAGGAGACTGCATGGACTGCAAGAAGATTAAACCTATTCATTCTGAAGGAAATCAGCCCTGAGTGCTCACTAGAAGGACAGATCCTGAAGCTGAGACTCCAATACTTTGGCCACCTCATGAGAAGAGAAGACTCCCTGTTGGGAAAGATGGAGGGCACAAGGAGAAGGGGACGACAGAGGACGAGATGGCTGGACAGTGTTCTCGAAGCTACCAGCATGAGTTTGACCAAACTGCGGGAGGCAGTGGAAGACAGGAGTGCCTGGCGTGCTCTGGTCCATGGGGTCACAAAGAGTCGGACACGACTAAATGACTAAACAACAACAACAACAAGTTTAGAGAAAAGACAGCTAGGCAATGCCATGATAGAAGTTTATGAAATCATGCATTGCATGGAGAAAGAGGACTGAAAAAAAGTTTTCCCTTCCCCTGTCATAGGCCTAGAATTCATGGACATCCAACAAAGGTGGATGTTGGAAGTTGGAAATAAAGTCCATCTTCACACAGAGCATAAACTGTGGAACTCACTGCCACAGGAGGCAGTGATGACACCAACTTAGAGCATTTTAAATAATATATTGTTTTTCTCCCCACCCCATTCTTGTTTTTTTTGGTCATGTATTTCATGCTTTAATGTTGTATTTTTATGTTGTGAAGTGCCCTGGGATCTGTGCATGAAGGGCAGCATGCAAGTTTGATAAATAATCATAATAATTTAAAAGAGGATTGGACAAATCCATGGAGGAGAAGGCTACTAGTCATGATGGCTATCTTCTGACTCCATGGTTGGAGGGAGCAATGCTTCTGAATACCAGTTCCTGGAAGCCACAAGAGGGGGAAGTGCTCTGGTGCTCGAATCCTGCTTGCTAGTTTCCTATAGGGGTATCAGGTTGGCCATGGGATGTGGGTGGCGCTGTGGTCTAAACCACTAAGCCTCTTGGGTTTGCCGTTCAGAAGGTCGGCAGTTCGAATCCCCATGACGGAGTGAGCGCCCATTGCTCTGTCCTAGCTCCTGTCAACCTAGCAGTTTGAAAGCACATCAGTGCAAGTAGATAAATAGGTACTGCTGCGGTGGGAAGGCAAATGGTGTTTCCGTGCGCTCTGGCTTCCATCGCAGTCAGTGGCGGAGGAAGAGGCATGCGGGAGGAGTGCACTGCCCCCAGCAGCATGATACCTGCGGGGTGCCATCGCAGCTGCCCCCCGCCTGTGCTGGGTACCATGCCCTTACGGACGGCACACCACGCCCCTACAGGAGGTGCGCCACGCGCCCAGGACACGCGCCAGCCCCATCCCTGCCTGCTCTCCCCCGCCCCCCGGTGCCAGAGCATGAAGTTCTGCCACTGATCACAGCATCCCGTTGTGCCAGAAGTGGTTTAGTCCTGCTGGCCACATGACCCAGAAAGCTGTCTGTGGACAAACGCCGGCTCCCTCAGCCTGAAAGCAAGATGAGTGCCGCATCCCCACAGTCGCCTTTGACTGGACTTAACCATCCAGGGGTCCTTTACCTTTACCTTTTATCTGTCTGGTTGACCACTGTGAGAACAAGGATGCTGGACTAGATGGGCCATTGGCCTGATCCAGCAGCCAGAGTCTTATGTTTAGGCCCAAGACATGTTGCCTCTGCAGGGAGCTCCAGCCAGCTGAAGCCTTGTGGGACCAGGAAGACATCCCATCCCTGAGTCTGCAGGTGAGGGAGGAGCTGCTTCAGGTAAGTCAACCTCTTCGCCCTCAGCTCTCTTCAGGTCCTCTGCTGTGGGCAGCCCAGGCATTGCTTCTCCAGAGATTCTGGAGGCATCTCGGTGCAGGCCTGAGGCCAGGCAGACCCTGTACCTTCTCCAGACTTCATGACATTGGGGGTCTCCTTGACACATGTGCTTGTAACAGAGGCAAGCAAGTGACAATGATAAGAACATAGAAGACTGGAAAATGCTTATTGAATATATGGGGGTGGGTGGGAATTGTTTGCATGTGAAAACGTTGGGAGCATTAAGATAAATTCAATTTTTGTTGCATGTAATAATGGAATACTGAATGGTATAGTTTCTGTTAAATATGCAGGGATTTATGCTGAGAGCCAGTGTGGTGTAGTGGTTAAGAGTGGTAGTCTCGTAATCTGGTGAACTGGGTTCGATTCCCCGCTCCTCCACATGCAGCTGCTGGGTGACCTTGGGCCAGTCACACTTCTCTGAAGTCTCTCAGCCCCACTCACCTCACAGAGTGTTTGTTGTGGGGGAGGAAGGGAAAGGAGAATGTTAGCCGCTTTGAGACTCCTGAAGGGCAGTGAAAGGCGGGATATCAAATCCAAACTCTTCTTCTCTTCTTCTTCTTCTATGCAAAATGAACCATGGAAAGATAAGAAGGGAAGTCACTGACATGTTAAGGTTGTTTAAATGAATATTCTAGAGTGTAAAAAAGAAAATTTAATAAAAAATTATATGTATATAAAAAAAGAACATAGCCCTGCTGCAACGGGCCATCTAGTCCAGCATCCTGTTCTCACAGTGGCTGATCAGATGCCCATTATGGGAAGCCCGCCAAGCAAAGAATCATAGAGTTGGAAGGTACCACAAGGGTCATCTAGCCCAGCCCCCCTACAATGCAGGAATCTTTTGCCCCAATGTGGGACTCAAACCCACAACCCTGATATTAAGAGCCTCACGCTCTACCAACTGAACTATCCCAAATGGCAGTACCTGAGTGCAGCAGTACTCTCTGATTGTCACTCTCCCTATTTTTTGGTATACAGAGGTAGACTGTGCCTGAGCATGGAGGTTCTATCAGAATCGCCCTCCATAAGAAGGGTCTTGCCAGACCGGGCCATCTAGTGTAGCATCCTGTTTTCACAGTGGCCAAATGTTGGAGGGGGCGTCCGTGTGCTCAGAGCCGCCTGGAATTCAAACAGGACATCTGTTGATCGATTTTGGCAAAGAAGGATTTGAACCGGATATCCACACATGCCTATCCGCAGCCGAACTGAATCAAGCAAGGAAGGGCACGTGCATCCGTGACTTTGGGAAGGTCGGTGAACGAGATGGGCTATTTATTTTCCTGTCTGAAACGTTTTTCACCCTGCCCTGCAGCCGAGAGCCAGTGTGCCTTACATAGAATCAATAGAAACAAGATGATGGGGTGGGTGAGTGGCTATGTGTGCTTTAGCGCTGAAGGGCTGTAAAAGGGCAAAAAAACAGCAGCACCGCCCCTCTCTTTGGGACAGTGACCTAGTTTGAAGTGCAACTGAGAAAAAGGAGAGGGAAACAGGAGGAAGCAGCAACCTTGCAGGGGTCAAAGCAATCTCCCCTGACCTGGACCCCACCCCCAGCTGGCCCCCCAGCAAGCATGGCCATTTGGGGAGATCGCTTCCATCACCCCCAGCCAGCACGTGTGCACGAAACTGCAGCAAAATATCATCAGCTGTTGCCACAGAAAACATAAAGCTCTTCCTCGCATTCACTGGATCCTGCCTCTACTCAGTTACCTCTGACCAATAACTTAGGGGGACACTGAATGCCTTGATGGAGAGTTGGGCTGTAAAAGCCAAGCCCAGTTTTTTCTATAAGAGTTATATTAGCGTTATTATTATTATCATTAGTAGTTGGGACGCGGGTGGCGCTGTGGGTTAAACCACAGAGCCTAGGACTTGCCGATCCGAAGGTTGGCAGTTCGAATCCCTGCGACGGGGTGAGCTCCCGTTGCTCAGTCCCTGCTCCTGCCCACCTAGCAGTTTGAAAGCATGTCCAAGTGCAAGTAGATAAATAGGTACCGCTCCGGCGGGAAGGTAAATGGCGTTTCCGTGCACTGCTCTGGTTTGCCAGAAGTGGCTTAGTCATGCTGGCCACATGACCCAGAAGCTGTATGCTGTCTCCCTCGGCCAATAAAGCGAGATGAGCACCACAACCCCAGAGTCGGCCACGACTGGACCTAATGGTCAGGGGTCCTTTACCTTTAGTAGTAGTACCTCTCCTCTTCCTCCCAAGAAGGGGTACTTCTTGTGAGATGCAGGTGCCACAATAAGTTGACCTGCCTTGGGTACACCCTGACTTAGAAAAATAGGAGCCAACTCCTAGGGGCCGAGGTCCCTTCTGCCACAACCCCCCCTCCAAATTGAGGGGGCAAGCCCCTTCAAAGTTGATGGAAGTTTGGTACCACTGTATTCAAGTTGGCACTCCTGCTTGGAAAGATCAAGGAACAGTAGCCCTTCCAACCCAGCCAGATGAGCAGGTTATAAATAATAATTTTATTATTATTATTATTTATTACAGTGGTACCTCGGGTTAAGAACTTAATTCGTTCCGGAGGTCCGTTCTTAACCTGAAACTGTTCTTAACCTGAAGCACCACTTTAGCTAATTGGGCTTCCCGCTGCTGCTGTGCCACTGGAGCACGATTTCTGTTCTCATCCTGAAGCAAAGTTCTTAATCCGAGGTACTATTTCTGGGTTTGCAGAGTCTGTAACCTGAAGCGTCTGTAACCTGAAGCGTATGTAACCCGAGGTACCATTATTATATTATATTATATTATATTATATTATATTATATTATATTATATTATATTATATTATATTATATTATATTATATTATATTATATTATATTATATTATATTATTATCGGACTCCGTTGGGAATCTCCTCCTGCTGCTCACGAGGACTAGCGGCTTGGACTGTATTTTTAGCAAAGGAAAGCCGCGCTTCTTCTCCGCAGCGCCCCCCCGCGGCTGTCCGCAGCGCGCTCCTGCGCCTTTAAATCCTCCGGCAGGTTGCCGGCTCCGGTGACGTCACGGGCTGCCCGGGCTGCGGGAGGGAGCTCAGCATCGCCGGGGAAGGAGCTGCGCACGCGATGGAGCAGCAGCAGCCGCCGCCGCCGCCGCTCAGCAGCGCCCACAGCAGCCGGAGGAAGCAGGCGCTGGCCAGGGGCCGAGCCGCCTCGGGGGCGTCCGAGCGGCGCCAGGTGAGCGCGGACGGGGCCGGCCCTCCTGGCCGCAGGTGGACGGAGGCCATTGGCGGAGCCGGCGGGCCCCGGAGCCAATGGCCGGGCAGGTGAAGGAGAAGGCGAAGGTGGCCCTGGCTGGGGAGGCGAAGGGGCGACGGTGGGGAGGGAGCCAGGAATCCGGAATCCCAGCATGGGGGCTCAGGTGTGTAAGTTAGGCACGCTCCGGGTGCGTGGGAGGGGGAGCCTCCCGGGACTTAGCGAGCGGCTGTCTGGCTCGCTCATCCCCCCACCTCCTCTGGGAAATGGGTACACGCAGAGTCTGGGCAGAAAGGAGGGGGCTGGCTTCTGGGTGTGGGGTGGTGGGTGGAGGGGGCTGGTTCTTAAGCATTGCGGGGGGGGGCGTTCAAAGTAGCTAATCTGTCCATTGTGTGCGCGCACGTGTGAGTGCTTGCAGCACCGGGGAGGTGGGACGGGGGATGCTTGAAGACCACCGAGCACCGCATCTCAGAAGCGCCAGCCAGGTTTTGAGAAGGGACCCCCTCCTGGCACCCCCTCCCTTTTTAAGCGTGCGTGTGGTGGTCCATTCGGTGCAAGGGTGAGCTTCCGATTCTGACAGGTGTGCATTCTGGCGCTGCCTATTTTCCGGATCGGTCTGGGATGGATTTCCCCCTCCCCGCAGGAAGACTCTGAGGTGCCCATTGTACGGAGCTGGGCTCTGCCGCTGTTTCCAAGAGGCGCTCTGTTCTCTCCTCCCCCTGCCCCAGATTCCAGGTTGCTTGCTTGCTTGTTTATTTATCATCTGCTCATAACATTTATATCCTACCTTATTTTCCTCCGATGAGCTGAAGGTGGTATATGTGGTTCTCCCCTGTTAATCCCGCAGCAACAACAACCCTGTGAGTTAGGCTAGGCTGAGAGGCAGTGATTGGCACCCAAGATCACCCAATGAGTTCTGTGGCTGAACAAGGGATTCAGATCTCTCCTCCCCCCTTATTTATTCCTCAGGACAAACCTGTGAACCTGGTTTGGCACCCGAGATCACCCAGTAAGTTTCATGTGGCTGAGTGGAGGATTCGAACCCTGGTCTCAGCCAGACATTCTAACCATGACAACCTGCTGGCTCTCAGCCTTTGCTTATGGGGAAGAGGGTGACATAGTGGTGATGGACAGGCAGACCCCCCCACCCCACACAACCCCCCTTCTCTGCTAATGCCATCTCCCTTGTTATTATTATTACTATCATCATCATCAACCTTGGCACAATATTATAATCAATTAGTGCTAGGGGGCTCTGTAGAGCAAAATATGCAAAGGGTGGTTCCCTGCCCCAAACGGCTTACAATCTAATTTTAGACACGTGGGGGGGGGTTGGGGTGAAGTAAGGATAACGGCAGATGGAGGAATCTTGAAAGGGAGCTTTAAACGCCTACATGGCCTTTGTTTCAGATGGTGTGTGTGTGTTTGTGTGTAGATTGGGTGTGTGGGGTTGAACGAGGGGCTTTGCGGAAGTGGTGGGTTTACATGGACACCCCCTGCCTGATGCCCCCAGATGTCCCATGTCACCTTTCCAGGGAAATGTGCCTTTTAAATCTTTCCTGGGTGCCCCTTCGTCACACCTCCTGCCAGCTGCCATCCTGGTGTCTAAGCTACACCTTCTCCCCCTCCCTTCTTTTCTCCAGCTCTTGCTGGGGCCGGACTCCTTTGGTGCCCTTGCCCATTCTAGTGCCAGCTGGTCTGCGGGCAAATCCTTTTTTTTTTTTGGAGTCTGCAGCTGGCACTGTTGAGCAAACACCCCCTTTTCCTCTCTCCTCCTGCTGGTGGCAAAAGCGCCCGGGGTCTGCCTGCCGCAGGCACTCTGTGCCCACTTCCTGCTTTCAGGAGATGCAAAAGCATGGATGCCAAGGTGAATGAATATGCCCACCTGGCAGCAGCAGCAGCAGCAGCAAGGCGGGCATTGGGCAGGCCCAGGCAGAGAGGGAGGGGAGGCTGGGAGAGGAAGCTCTCTTCTGGGGAAAGGGAGCCGGGGAGAGAGGACGTCCTCTACCTTTCTCGCTGTCAGCAGGACTGGGAGCTCTGCAACCAGCCGGGCAGAGCAGGAGAGAGAGGGGAAGGGAATTGAAGGGCACATAAGCTGCAAGAGATGGGCACTGTGGAGGGCAGAAGGTGCCCACCAATCCTCTATCGCAGGTGGTGCTATTTGGGGCTGCTGGGGTGGAAAGCGGGGCTGCCCCCCCCCCGAATAGACAGCACCATCGCATTCTAGTTTTGTGTTGTCCCCATCCTCCTCTGCGCTGAGTTTGCCAAGGGCAACACTGACAGAGGAGGAGGAGGAAGCGGTTTTGGCAGTGCCACCCCCTGGACCGGATGTTTCTAAGAAGGCTGGCAGGTGGGGGCTGGCTGAGGTTGGTGGGCCTGTTTTCCACAATGGCACTAATAAAACAGCCCCCACTGATTTTGATTGTGAGCCCTAGCAGACTCCCTTTTTGCAGTCGGGCAAAGCGGTGTGGCATAGAGGTGAAAGTGTCGGGCGAGACCCGGGTTCAAATCCCCACTCGGCCACGAAGCGACCTTGGGCTGGTGGCCGCTGCCTCTCAGCCAAAACCCACTCCAGAGGGTGGTTGTGTGGCTTAAAGAGAAGGAACACTCTCCATCCCACCTTGAGCTCCATGGAGAAAAATGCAATAAATAAATTAAGTGCACAGATGGGGAAACTGAGGCAGGAGGGACTTTTCCTCAGAAAGCTAAAAAACCCCCTGCTTTTTCCCCCATTTGTGGGGTGCAAGGGAAGGAGGGGTCAGCCCAAGGAAGCTTGGAGAAAGGTTAATCTTTCCTTCCTTTGAGGATTTAGCATGTAATGAATACAGTGTTGAAATTGCTTCCTGTAAGATTTCCCGAGGGCAGGAAAAGTGTGTGTGTGTGTGTGTGTGTGTTTAATCCTGTATTGAAGTTGAGACTGGGTGGTCCAGCCCTTTCAAAAACTCCATGTAGTTCTTTCTCACACGCAGGATCCGAGCCTCAGAGCTCATTTTCACTACCAGGTTTTGAGCCCCAGAGACGAGCGATGTCATTGCCAACAAGGGAGCGCTCAAGAGCATGTGCAGAGTGCATTTCTCTTGGACAGTGCTGTCAGCACCGTTCGTCTTCTAGTGCAGGTGTTGGCAGTGGGTCTTTCTGGCAGGCTGGAGGCCTCAGGCCTCTCCGACAGGAGCAGGCTGCAACTCACTGGTGAAGCCCGCACAGACGCTCCAGCCTCCAGTCCCTGCCATTCCCTCTTGGAAAAGCTTTCTGGAGTGAGAAGCCATGTTAAGTCACATTTGCCCCATCCATTTAAAACACTGCAATACCTCTTTGAGCAACCATGACTCCCCTCCCCCCAAATAATAATTTTGGGAGCTGTAGTTTGTTGGAGGTGCTGAGAGCTGTTAGGAGACTTCCCTATTCCCATCACAGAGCTACACTTCCCACAGCTCCCTGAGAAGAGGGATTGTTAAACCACAGTGCAAAAAACACAGTCTGTATGATCATGATGTTAAAAGCTCAACCTATGTATTTATTTTTAAACTTATTCCACTTATCCTCCAAGGAGCTCCCTCGTCCCCTCCCCAGTTTTATAGTCACAACAACCCTGTGAGCCAAGAGGCAGCGACCGGGCCAAGGTAAGGAGCTTCATGACTGAAGCGGGGATTCGAACCTTGGTCTCCCAGGTCCTAGTCTGACACTCTAACTGCTGTGCCACACCAGCTCTCAAAGTCTAACCCTGGCATAAGTCCTATGTAATAAGAATACAAGAAGTTGCCTTATACCGAGGCTCAGTATCTAGCTCAATATTGTTTACACTGCCTGCACTTTTCGAACTCGAGACATTTCCAGCCTCATCTGGAGAGGCCAGGGATTGAACCTAAGTCCTTCAGCATGCAATAATACAGGAGTTTTTCCACTGAGCTATGGCCCCTAGTCCCTGTGGCTGGCTAGTTTCTCTGCTCTGAAACTGGGGTGGGGACTGTTGATTCTTGTTTACGGAATGCTGTCTGCATATGTTGGGGGCACTGCAGGGGAGACCCTCTCGCTGTGTATGGGGAGATTGTTGAATATTGATTTGCTGTTAGCCTGACTCAGTCGGTTTCTTTGTCCGAGCTATCAAGGCAATTAGAGTCTGGTTTAAAAAAAAAAAAAGGAGGCAGGCAAGGGCTCTTTCCCTGATATGGTGATATTGAATGTATTATTACAGTGCTTCTTATAAGAATAACTAATTACTGATTATACACAATTTAAAAAATGACTTAATATAATAATAGAGCTGTTAGATGGTGGAACAGACCGCTTTGGAACGTAGTTGAATCTCTTTTGTTGGAGGTTTTTAAGGCAGAGTTTGGGTGGTCATCTTTAGCTGTTATTCTTGCATTGCCAGGGTTGGTCAAGAGAGGACCGTTGGGATGATGATGATGATGATTATCATTTCTATACCGCGGGTTAAACCACAGAGCCTAGGACTTGCTGGTCAGAAGGTCGGCAGTTCGAATCCCCGCTACGGGGTGAGCTCCCGTTGCTCGGTCCCTGCTCCTGCCAACCTAGCAGTTTGAAAGCACGTCAAAGTGCAAGTAGATAAATAGGTACCCCTCTGGTGGGAAGATAAACAGCATTTCTGTGTGCTGCTCTGGTTTGCCAGAAGCGGCTTAGTCATGCTGGCCACATGACCCGGAAGCTGTATGCTGGCTCCCTCGGCCAGTAAAGCGAGATGAGCGCCGCAACCCCAGAGTCATCCACGACTGGACCTAACAATCGGGGGGCCCTTTACCTTTACCTTTAATGTGAACAAACTAGTTAAAAATAGTTATTAAACCACATCGGAACATATTTGGAGCCAGCAGTTCAAACCCAGTTTGCCCTGACAGCCTCACCTGTGTGACAATTTTCAAAGGCCTGCCTTTGAAACAGGAAGGTGTTAGCTTGCTGGCAGAAGGAGCCAGCCTGTCCTCTCTGGGGAGGGAATCCCACAATCTGGGTGCAGTCACTGAAAAGGCTCTCCCTCGTGTCACCGAAAGCTGTGCCTCTGATGTTGTTGGGACCGAGAGGAGGTGCTTACCCAAGGGTTGTGCCACCTGGGCAGGTTCGTAGAGGGAGATAGTCTTTCTGGTAGCCTGAGTCCCAACCATATAGGGCTTCATCAGTCATAACCTTGAACCCTAACCTTCCCCCTTCAGACCCTGGCTGGCCGCTGGCCACTTGCCCAAGCTTCTTTCCCAGGAGAGAGAACCCTCAGCCCCAACGTTCCACGGCTGTTGGCACAGGAAAGCGATGCCAACCTCCTGCCACCTGGAGAATCTGAGCATGGTGGCATGGAAAGTGATTCGTCAGAGGAAGGCCATGAATTCTCCCTGTTTGGATGGATTTGGGTACTGTGCCAGGAAGCGTCAGGGAAATGAAGTCTCTCGATGTGTTTCAGATCTGACCCTAAATTCACGATAAACGCTCTTTTGCTATGGGGTGGAGGGGGGACCATGGGAACTTCAGGAATTGGACAGTTCCCTTGGGCCCTGTCCAGACATTGCTGGGACTCCAGCTCCTGTTAACCCCTCAGTCAAGGGTCAGGGATGACGGGAGTCCAGTAACATCTGGAGGGTGACTGGCTAGCCACCCATGTTGTAGGTGCCTGTGTGTGTCGATCTGGAAAAAGAGCAGGGAGTTGGCAAAGGCTGTTGGGAGCCACGGAAACTGGTGTGTCACTGAAAACAACTTGGAGAAAGGGCTGGCGTTCAGTGGCAGAGCATTTATTTATTTTTTCCACGTGGAAGGTCCCAGGTTCAGTCCCTGGCATCTCCAGGCAAGGCTAGGAGAGATTGAAACTCTGGAGAGCCAGTCAGTGGAGGCAACACCAAGCTGGGTGGACCAATGGTCTGATTCAGTAGAAGGTAGTTTCCTGTGTTCCCAGTTTCTATTGAATTTGGGCTGGGAGCAAGCTGCCTGGTATCTGAAGGAATCCATGCTGTGTCACAATTGCCGCCTGCAGTTCATTGCCCCAGGGTGCTACAAGGGCTTCTTCAGAAGGTCTGGTGAACATGCAGAAGAAGGCAGGGTTAGGAGTTGATGCTGAGATCCCAGGTCATCTCAAAGGGCAGCCTTTGTATACAGAGACATGGTGTACCCTCTGTCTGTCCTTTCCTGAGGTTAAGAGTCAGGGAGGTTCTCTTGCATGGGCGATGTGGTCGTAGCCAGCCCTGGAAGAGAAGATGAGAAGGAAGGAGGTTGCAGCAACCCCACAGGGACATGCCAGATATATTGCAAAAACCTCCTTGCAGAGAATTCCCACCAGGGCCCAGCTCTAGCCATGACCTTGTTTGGCTCTGTTCTGCGGACGCCGCTGCAGAATTTGTGGGCAAAATTGAGACGGGTTCCTCGCACCTGCCAGGGTCGTTGTGGGCATCTTTGTGTGAAGATAGGCTGGCAGGCAGGGCCTCACATGCCACGCAGCGGTCTAATGTGCTCTGCCCTTTTCTCCCCCCTTCTTCAAGATGGAGTCCAGTCACCGTGGCAGCAGGGACCAAGGCCCGTCCTCCCCCATCGGGTCCCAGCCGGTGTCTCCACGCAACAGTATCACAGGATTGGCATCGCCAGGGCTGTTCTCTCCTGCCAGCAACCAGTACGCCTCAGATGGGACAGTCCGGTACCAGCCTGAGGGATCCAGCAATGCCATGTATACCGGAGGAAACCTGCCAAGTGGGACTAGGTCTGACTCGCTGTTTGACTCTTTCCACAACCGGTTGCAGCCCGACGGGTCTCGCCATTCGGCGTCTGAGAGACAGAACCAGCCTCTCTCCTTGGATCTCAACAGAGCCCAGCCGGAGGGCTCTGGGGGCGTCCATGCATTCAACACCCCAAACCTGCGTTCTCCGGTAGAGTTACGGCCATTGTCTCCAGCTTCCGGCAGCTCGTCATCCCAATCCAACGTCTCTCCCTCCATGAAACTCAGCCAGTCACCCAGCCGGGGTGTGCTCCCAGAACTTTGCGGCCTGGACCCACTGAGCACTGGCATCCTCGCCACGGTGGAACTCAAGGACACTCTCCCAAAGGCCGAATCCAGCGACCACATCTACCTGGGTCGCTCCGGCTCCTCGCACCGGCCCATGTCCCTCCCGAAAGCCATCTCGAGCGAGTACATCTCAGGCGGAGGAAGGGTGGGCCCCTCTAAGTCCGCCATGCTCTCCAAGGCTGAGTCGGAGGACATCGTCTCGTATGGCAGGCTCCGGCAGCCCCCCAAATCCCAGGACCTGGGCAGCAGCAACATGAATCTCAAGGAAAGCTTTCTGATGCGACTCGGCCAGCCCCACACCAAGCAGGACAATGAGTTTCGGTGAGGCAGACTGGGCGTGATGGGGGAGCGATGGCTCAGGTGGTGGGGTGAGGGACCAAGAGCAGTTGGGACAGGGGTCAGCAACCTTTTCCAGCCATGGACTGGTCCACCGTCCCTCAGACCATGTGGTGGGCCGGACTATATTTTTTGGGGGGAAATGAAGGAATACCTATGCCCCACAAATAATCCAGAGATGCATTTTAAATAAAAGGACACATTCTACTCATGTAAAAACACCAGGCAGGCCCCACAAATAATCCAGAGATGCATTTTAAATAAAAAGACACATTCTACTCATGTAAAAACACGCTGATTTCCGGACCGTCCGCGGGCCGGATTTAGAAGGTGATTGACCCGGGTCTGGCCCCTGGGCCTTAGGTTGCCTACCCCTGAGTTAGGAGGAAGGTTGTATTTTGAAGCAGAGGAGGGTCAGTGAGATGCAAATTGTATTGTGTTGGGGTTGGGGAGCTTGTGTCCAGATAGATACTGTAGATAGATAGATACTGTAGATAGATAGATAGATATACAGTGGTACCTTGGGTTAAGAACTTAATTCGTTCTGGAGGTCTGTTCTTAACCTGAAACTGTTCTTAACCTGAGGTACCACTTTAGCTAATGGGGCCTCCTGCTGCCGCACTACCGGAGCACGATTTCTGTTCTCATCCTGAAGCAAAGTTCTTAACCCGAGGTAATATTTTTGGGTTAGCGGAGTCTGTAACCTGAAGTGTCTGTAACGCGAGGTACCACTGTAGTTTTTATTGAAAGACTTTCATGTATTGTCCCTCTAGATATTGATGAATCCTGATGCCCAACATTCAGTCGTAGAATCGTAGAGTTCGAAGCTGTCCCCAAGCATCATCTAGTCCACCCCCAGCAATTCCAGAATCACAGCTAAAGAACCCTTAACAGATGAGCATTCAACCTCTGTTTAGGAAACTCCAGTGAAGAAGAGTTTGGCTACCTTCTCAGGCAGTCCATTTCACTGTTGAGCAGCTTTGGACCCTACCCTCTGGAGCAGCAAATAACAAGCTTGCTCCATTTCCCATATCCAACATCCTCCTTCAGATATTTGAAGACAGCTCTCATATCACCTCTCAGTCTCCTCCTTCAGGCTAAACACACCCAGAATGCGGCAGCTAGACTGGTGACTGGGAGTGGCCACTAAGACCATATAACACCGGTCCTGAAATACCTACACTGGCTCCCAGTACGTTTCCAAGCACAATTCAAAGTGTTGGTGCTGACCTTTAAAGCCCTAAATGGCCTCAGCCCAGTATACCTGAAGGAGCATCTCCTCCCCCATCGTTCAGCCCAGACACTGAGGTCCAGCTCCGAGGGCCTTCTGGCAGTTCCCTCATTGTGAGAAGTGAGGTTGCAGGGAACCAGGCAGAGGGCCTTCTCGGTAGTGGCGCCCGGCCTGCGGAACACCCCCCCATCAGCTGTCAAGGAAATAAAGAACTATCTGACTTTTAGAAGACATCTGAAGGCAGCCCTGTTTAGGGAAGTTTTTAATGTCTGATGTTTTATTGTGCTTTTAGTTCTGTTGGGAGCCACCCAGGGTGGCTGGCGAAACCCAGCCGGATGGGCAGGGTATAAATAATAAATAATAAAATATAACAACAACAATTTATTATAATATTGATATTATAACTCCCTCAACCGTTTCTCTTAAGGTTTGAGTCCCAGACTCTTCATCATCTTGTTTGCCCTCCTCTGCGCACCTTCTGGCTTGTCATTAGCCTACTTAATCTGGGGTGCCCACAATTGGACACAAAACCCCAGATGTGGTCTGAACAAGGCAGAATAGAGTGGCACTATCACTTCCCTTGATCTGGACTCTGGACTTCTATTGATGCAGCCTAGAATTGCATTAGCCTATTTTATTTTTTGCCGCCACTGCTGCTGCTTCACACTATGAATGAGAGAGTAGACCACCTTTTTACAGCAAACCTCATTATAATTATTGCAACATTAAACGGGCCAAACCGGTCTTATCTTTAAGCCTTTGCCATAAGACCTTTGTACTGAGGCTTGTTTTTATGGTTCATAACTATTGTCCCTTTCGGCATAGTGCCAGTGAGCTGGTAAGAAAAACTGGGCTTCGCTCCTTTAGCAGCAACCCTGTAGGTGTGTCTCTCTGTGTGTCCTCCTCTGTGGCTTCCTAAATTGTGCCCTCATTTCACAACCCAACTTCCCAGCGATGCAGGCTAGGGTTGGGTCCAATCTGGACATTGCATCCTGCTGGCTGGAGCTGACGGGAACTGAGAATCTGACAACTAGAGAGCCACCAGTCATTCCCTCTGCCCCCCACACAATGGGGCTACCAGGATGCCTGGCATCAGCAACTTGGAACCAGCTCTTTCCTGCTGGAGGGCCAAGCAAGATCTTCTCCCATGGAGCAGCAGCCCCCCCCCTTGCACCTGCAGCGAGTCCTTTTTGCTGACGCTAACTGGCGCCTTCCCGCATATGCGGTTTAATTGTGTTAATGCCCTGGGATTTATTGCCAGGGAGCCTGCCGTGGCCAGTGGCCCTCCGGGAGCTTCTGCCAGGCACTGAGCATTCCAGCTGGCCACGCCAATCATATTAGCACAGTGGCCTCTGAAAATGGCACGTGCCAAACGGTCAGGGTGTTTAAATTGTATTAGTGCCCATTGGTTGACGACAGCTCCCTTTATCCCTGGCTGCTCGCTGTGCAGGTGCCGGGAGTCTTGGAGAACATCATGAGGACGTCAGCCCCATCCCTGGCTAATGACAGCCCTGCAGGGAAGGCCGAAAGAATCATGGATCGTAGGAATGCAGGAATATTGAACTGTCTCATACAAGGATTGAACCTGCAACCTTGGCATTATCAGCACCCTGCCCTAAGCAGCTGAGCCAGAGACTGTCTCTGCCAAGGTCCTTTGGTACATTTGTAGCCAAAGCGAGGTTTTAACTGGGGTTAGTTGGATACAGTGTTGTTGTGTTTTATTTATTGCATTTGTAGCTCACGGCTTTGCTGTTGCAGGACTCTAGTTCCATGATCATTGGCCATGCTGGCTGCATCCGATGGGTTTTGTAGTCCAACAAAAGTTTTGTAGTTCACCCAAAGGCAGCCCTTTATGGGGATTTTTAAAAATGTTTGATGTTTTCTTGCGTTTTTATATTTTGCTGGAAGCTGCTCAGAGTGGCTGGGGCAACCCAGTCAGATGGGTGGGGCATAAATAATAAAATTATTACATACCCTCCAACATTTATCCAATGAAAATAGGGACATCTTATTCAATTGCTGTTGTTGTATACCCTGCCAATACTTTTTTTTTCTTAAAAAATGTTTAGGTGTACTCTCATTTTGACTCAAGGAAAATCACCATTTTATAGTTCAAATCAGGGAAAATAAATACAGTAAATGGACAAAAGTACAAAGATTCACAAAATGTTTAGGGGTATGCATCCCCCTGCGTCCCCACCAGAAAAAAGCACTGTCCCCACCCATCTGACAGGGCTTCCCCAGCCGCTCTGGGCACCTTCCAAGATATAGAGGTAAAGGGACCCCTGACAGTTAAGTCCAGTCGCGAACTACTCTAGTGTTGCGGCGCTCATCTCGCTTTATTGGCCGAGGGAGCCGGCGTACAGCTTCCGGGTCATGTGGCCAGCATGACTAAGCCGCTTCTGGCGAACCAGAGCAGTGCACAGAAACACCGTTTACCTACCCGCCGCAGTGGTACCTATTTATCTACTTGCACTTTGACGTGCTTTCAAACTGCTAGGTTGGCAGGAGCAGGGACCGAGCAAAGGGAGCTCACCCCGGCATGGGGATTCAAACCGCCGACCTTCCGATCAGCAAGCCCAAGGCTCTGTGGTTTACACCACAGCGCCACTCACGTCCCATAATAAAACCATAATAAAACTTTAAACATTAAAAAACGTCCCTATACAGGGCTGCCTTCAGATGTCTTCTAAAGGTTGTATAGTTAGTTATCTCCTTGGCTCAGGGGGGGGGGTCACATAACTCCATACTCTCCAACATTTCTCTGATGAAAATAGGGATGTCCTAAGGAAAAACAAATTAGAAACTGGGACAGCTTCTGTAAATCTGTAGAACAGAGACACTTGGAGGATCTATTAACAGCATCTGAATGTCTGATGGATGCCAGCATCCAAGGGGGTCAGACTGATGCCCCCAGGTATTGTTGGACCCCACTAAGGAGAGGGACTTTTTTGGTGGTGGCCCCTTGGTAATGGAACAGATTTCCCAGGGAGGCTCAAGTGGTGTTATCTTGGAGGTCATTTTTGCACCAGACAGAGACTTTTCTGTGCATCCAAGCTTTATAAATAACAAGTAATGCAGGATTCTCCCTCCCCTAAACGGTTTTATGTTTTGCTTTTAGCTGTTTTTTTTCAAAACGTATTTATTCTAAACTGCCCCAAAGAAGTTTATACTGTAGTGTGGCAGGCAGAGGTAATAAATAAAAGAAGTTAGCATCTTCTGTATAAATATGTATTCATTTATGCATAAATTTCTGTACTGCTATATGTACTCCTGTACATAATCAACATAATGAAGTCTGAGGTAAAAAAAACAGCATGGCAAAAATGCAAAACTAGGTCACTCACGTGGCAGCGTAAGCTTGTCTAAATAACCTTTTTAAGATGTCTAAAACTACACCTAGAAGATGCCTGTGTGATGTATGAATTAATGAGGAGGTAGTTGAGGCATAAAATACTGGGGTGTTCAAAGGCTGTCACTGTCTTGATCTGCAAAATTCTTGGAAGCTGCTTGTCTCAGATGAAACACCACGTCTCAAAAGCCTGCAGCTGAATGATGGTGTCTGGGGTGAGGCAAGGAAACTCTGTCTGTGGTTTGTTGATGGGGGGGGCAACTTCATCTGCACAGACCCTCCCTGCGTGCCTGGTGTGCAGGTGTGAATGTGAAATAAGTGTTTCTGGCTAGCTGAATCTCAGCCTAGCAAGCCTCAGTCCAGCTTACTTTAGGGTTGCCACTCTGGCTTTCGACAGTTTTAGGGTTGCCATGTGTCCTTTTTTCCCAGGACATGTCCTCTTTCTTCATAGTGATCCGTAGTTAAAAGTTTACCGTATTTTTCCATGTATAAGATGATTTTTTTATTATTAAAAAATGGGAGTCATCTTATACACAGATAATGCAGAGTGAGGATGGGTGATTGGTGGCAGCTGCGAGCAGGAGATGTCAGCGGCGATTGGGCGGGTGATTGGTGGTTGTGGCAAGGCGATTGGCTGTTGCTGCGGCAATTGGGCGGGCGATTGGCAGGCAGATGACTGGTGGGTTCGTCGAGGCGTGTGAATGGCAGCGGTGGTCAGGCGGGTGAGTGATTGTCGGCAATTCCCCACCCGAAACTTCAACAACTCTGTGCAATCTTTCCCCATTTCCTTAATTTGGAGTCCCATAAAATAGGGGTCGTCTTATACACGGAGGCGTGTTATACACGGGAAAATACAGTAAGTTGGCAAATGTGTCCTCTTTTTTGCTCTTCAAAATATGGCAACCCTATCAGGGACCTACCTTATCTTTTGACTGTAAGTTGTTTAAACTGTTTTTAATAGTGCAAATTAATGTTGTAACCTTCCTTGGGACTTTAGGGTGAAGGGCACAAAGATGATACTAATAACAACAACCCATAATTATTATTTTATTTTACTTATTAAAATACAGTGGAACCTCAGTTGTCGAACGTAATCCATTCTGGTTCGACTTCTGAAACGTTTGACAACCTAGGCACAATGGGGCTGTTGGCAAAATCCATTGAAAAAGATGGAGAAATGCACCTCGAAAGCCGTTTGACTTCCAAAAATCGTTCAAAAACGGAAGCATTCACTCCGGGTTGTTGGCGTTCAAAAGCCAAAAGGTCCGACGTCCAGAGCGTTCAACAACCAAGGTTAACTGTACTTATATTCCGCTATGTAAAAAAAAAAAGTGGTTTACAGCAATAAAACATAAAAAATAGTAAAATAAAAACTGTGAAAAGGTTAGAGAGTTAAAAACAGACATCAATTAACCAATGTGGAAGGGTGTGTTTGTTGGAATCGGGGGGTCTCAGCCCCAGCTGGGATGTCTCCCTCTCAGCCTTGTTGTGGAGATTCCTCAACCTCTGCTCCGACGTACATCAGCGACCCAAGCTTACAGACTTGAGCACACTTTGCTCAGCAGTGTATACTGCGCAACAGAAGAGGCTTGAGGCTGTAGATACATACTAAGCTACGCATTTATTAAACATAAATCAGGACAAAGAAACATGTCGTCTCTCCTTGCCGTCTTCTCGGAGAGAGAGCTAAAAACAACTATACAGAGCCGAAGTTCCGCTCATGCCAGCAATCTGTGCTGGAATGTAAACAGTCATGTGACACGCAACAATCCCATGTCTGCAGCAAAAGGTGGAATGGAATCCCAACGGTGTTCTTAATTGCCTGCATAGGCCTGACAGAGCAGAAATGTTTTCGGCAGGTGCTTAAAAGTTGGCACAGAAGGCACCTGCTGACTTTCTAGTGGCCGAGAGTTCCACAGGACTGGGCCGATGACACTAAAGGCTTGGTTTCTTGTTGTCAAATGAGCTTCACTAGCTTGGGGAACAACCAGTGATGCTCCTGCAGGTGATTTCTGTGCTCAAGCTAGGACATAATATTCATAATAATAATACCCCGCCCCTCTGGATGGGTCTCCCCAGCCACTCTTGATGGCTCTGAACAGAATGTTAAAAACACGATAAAACATCAAACATTAAATACTTCCCTAAACAGGGTTGCCTGCAGATGTCTTCTAAAAGTCAGATAGTTGTTTATTTCCTTGACATCTGATGGGAGGGAGTTCCACAGGGTGGGCGCCACCACTGAGAAGGCCCTCTGCCTAGTTCCCTGTAACCTCACTTCTTGCTGTGACGGAACCACCAGAAGGCCCTCGGTGCTGGACCTCAGTGTCCAGGCTGAACGATAGGGGTGGAGACGCTCCTTCAGGTATACTAGGCCGAGGCTGTTTAGGGCTTTAAAGGTCAGCACCAACACTTTGAATTGTGCTCAGAAACATACTGGGTTCAAGTGTTCCCTGTGGTACCTTGGACCAAAGTTGTTCAGATGGGCAGCCAGTGGAGGTGTTCTAACAAGGGGGGGGGTGCATGTTCTTGACCAGAAGCTCCCGTCAGCAGTCTGGCTTCAGCATTCTGCCCCAGCTGGAGCTTCCGAACCAGGCCCAAGGGCAGCTCCAAATAAAGTGTGTGACAGTCATCCAGCCTTGAGTTTAATATTAATGACCCTTGATGCCAGGCTCCCTGTTTCCTTTTAGCATCACTATCGTGACCTGGAACGTTGGTACAGCCATGCCTCCCACCGACGTGACCTCGCTCCTGCACCTCAACACTGGGGACTCCAACGACACAGACATGATCACCATTGGGTAAGGAAATGGATCCGCCATGGACTGCCCTTTTGGCAGAGCATGTCAGTAGAGTGTGTGTTTAAGTGTGTGTGAACTCCCATCCAACACAACTCTGCAGGGTGAATGAATGGTGCTCAGGGCAGTGATTGCCAGATGTGAACATCTGGGACTAGAGATGGCCAAATCTGCCTGATTTAGTTTCTCTCCCTTTCTCATCCTCCCCCCACAACCTTTAAGTTTCATTCTCCCTACTTAGAATCGTAGAGTTGGAAGTGACCTTGGGGGACATCTAGTCCAGCCCCCTGAAATGCAGGAATCTCAAGCATCCATGAGAGATGGCCATCAAACCTCTGCTTAAAAAACCCTCAAAAGAAGACGAAGAAAAATAAATACCCCACCCAAAAATACCCCAGTTTCTCCAGCCACTCTGGGTAGCTCCCAACAGAATTAAAAGCACAATAAAACATCAAACATTAGAAACTTCCCTAAACAGATGTCTTCTAAAAGTCAGATTGTTGTTTATTTCCTTGACATCTGATGGGAGGGTATTCCGCAGGGCAGGCGCCACTACCAAGAAGGCCCTCTGCCTGGTTCCCTGTAACCTCACTTTTCACAGGGAGGGAACCACCAGAAGGTCCTCAGAGCTGGACCTCAGTGTCTGGGCTGAATGATGAGGGTGGAGACGCTCCTTCAGGTATACTGGACTGAGGCCATTTAGGGCTTTAAAGGTCAGCACCAACACTTTGAATTGTGCTTGGAAACGTACTGGGAGCCAGGACTGGTGTTATATGGCCTCAGCGGCCACTCCCAGTCACCAGTCTAGCTGCCGCATTCTGGATTAGTTGCAGTTTCCGGGTTACCTTCAAAGGTAGCCCCACATAGGAGATTCCACGATCTCCACTTTCGAACCGCTCTTACTGTTAGAAATTTCTTCCTGCTGCTTAGTTGGAATCTCTTTCCTTGTAACTTGAATCTATTAATTTGGGTCTTACCCTCCGGAGCAACAGAAAACAAACTTGCTCCATCTTCCATGTGACAGCCCTTCAGATATTTGAAGATGGCTATTATATCTCCTCTCATCCTCCTCTTTTCCAGGCTAAACATACCCAGCTCCTTCAACATCTACATCAGTTTGTAGATTTTTCTTTTTTAAAATTCGCCGCCGACCTTTATTTTAATAATATATACATTTTTGCACAGTGTTGTAGGGTTTGTTTGTTTTTTTGCAGCCAAGTTTTTCTAATGCAATCTTCACAAATCTAGGCACGTCACCCCAAATTCTCCCTCCCCTTTTGTAATTTTCAGATGCGATTTCCTTTCTCCTAAATTGACGTAGAATGTTTTTTTTAACTGTTTTATTAAATTTGCTTAGTAACATAACATTATTATATATATTCTATAAACAAAGAATACAAAACACAATTCATTCATACTACAATGCATACCTACTTAGCATTAATATATATGGTTTCTGAAAAAGGGCTTACATAACAAAATCCATTCAAAATACCATCCGGTTTACCTCCCCCCCCCCACTCCAACCCTCCCCTCCCCCGGTCAGGCCTTCCTTCTTCATATCTTTATCCATGTACACAGTCTGTTCATTCGAGCTTGTATGTTAGGGTTGGCTTCCCCTCTTTCTATCCAGTCCCTGTAAAAAAGCCCATTTATTTGTGATTCTTTGGCATTTGTTTTCCCATCTATCCTCTGCCACTATCTGTGCAAATATTTCTGATTGTACGTATTCAAACACATAATCATTCCATTTTTCCATATTCCATTTGGCCTTTTCTTTCCATCCCAAAGCAATAACGGAGAATGTAACACAGACGGAGAATGGTTAAAAAAGGACAATGCCCAAGATTTTTTTTTTGACATAGCAACAACTCAGCACAAACCTCAGAACAAACTCTACAGTTCTATGATTCCATTATCTGGCAATTATGTGGTTTCCCCCTCTCATATCTTGAATCAGAAGAACAGGTTCTCCTTTTGATTTTGAACTGGTACAGGGCGAGGTTTTGTAGAGCCACTGAGTCTTTTGTACTGTGTTGGTGGACCCACAGGGCTCTGTGGGTGAGGTGAGCTCAGCCCCCTCTGATCCTTGGCTTGAAAAATCCTCAGCTGCTTTGAACTACGGAACTGGCGCTGTTCTAGGTCCCACATAATACCCATTATGCATTTGTAAGAAATCAATCTTTTTTTTTGTCTAGAGTGGGACTTAATCTCTGGAACTCACTGCCTATTGACACCAGGCAGATGCCTTCCCTGCCCTCTATTTGGCGTTTGCTAAAAAGCCATTTTTGTTTAGAAAAGCCTTTTAAAAAAATTGCTGTAAGTTTTAATCTGTTTTTAGTTCATTGCTGATTTTATCTTTTGAAGAATTGTTTTTATAGTTAGTTTTATAGTTTTATTCTCTCTGAGACTTTTTGCTTTACAATCAATTGGTGTATAAATTTTATGGAAAAAAGAGGGGTTATTTATAAGAACATGAGACTTTGCCTCCATTTTCTTTATCCCGTGAAAGTGCCTGGAGAGCAGAGTGTTCTTTCCAAAGTGTTTGCCTGCCAGCTGGTGACAATTTTGAATTGTTTTCAGGCTCCAGGAGGTGAACTCCATGATCAACAAACGGCTCAAAGATGCTCTTTTCACAGACCAGTGGAGCGAACTCTTCATGGAGGTGTTGAGTCCATTTAATTTTGTACTGGTAAGCACCGAGGGGAACTCAGTTACAAGCTGAGGACAGGTTAAGAATATTGGGGGGGGGGGCGGACTTCCTTTCTTTTCTTTTCTTTTTTGGTTACGAATGCAAATGCTTTTAATAACTGCAAATAATCAGAGGGCTGATAAAATTAATTTTTACACAAAACAACAACAGTGATTCAGAATGTTGTTTGTACTAACAGATTTATTTTTTTAAAGCCAGGACCAATGCAAACTTAATTAAGGGACTGTGTTATTATTCCCGCATTTGTTGTTTTAAATATTTTTTATTTATTTTTATCAATAGAAATTTACAATCAATTTGTATAATCATCTTAGGAGATTCTCTGACTTGTGACTTCCCCCCATCTCCTGCATTGGCCCTTATTACAATAATTAAGACTGCATATCAATATGTTCTCCACTACTTCCATTTTTCAAAATTATCCATAATCTTTGTTACTTTACAAGGAGGAGGGCAGGAACAGGGACCGAGCAACGGGAGCTCACCCCGTCGCGGGGATTTGAACCGCTGACCTTCTGATCGGCAAGCCCTAGGCTCTGTGGTTTAACCCACAGCGCCACCCGCATTAATTCTTCACTAATTCTAGTATGACTTCTGATCTCCCTGCTGTGGTTCCCAGGTTTCCTTTTGCTATGCTTCCTTTCCTTGACTGTTTCAGCAAGGGCTTCTGAATTAGGAACTTTGCTGAAATGAGCAGGATTTAACCCCTCCACTCACCAGCTGATGAGCAGCATGTGTGTGTAAAATCCTGCTGCTTTGGCTATGTGCCCCTGTTCCTTGCTCAAAACTGGTACACACTGTCAATGCAGGGTTTAACCTTGTCCTCCCACTCATCAGATGATGTCACAAGTGATATCAGCTGGTGGACAGGTGTTGGGGGAGTTAGCCTTGCAGATCTCAAGTGTCTGTTGGCAATGCGCTGGTCCCTGGCCATGATAGTGGTGGGCAATAAGCCAAGGGTGGGGCAGCTGTGGTTGATTGATTGATTGATTGATTGATTGATTGCATTTCTATGCCACTGTTCATTCAAATGAATCTCAAAGCAGCTTAACAACCAATAAATAACCATAACATAATAAAACATAATAGCACATCGCGAATACAGCATACGTCATATAAAAGAATTAACAAATTATCAAAAAAAATTTGCAATCTATAAAAAACTTAACAAAACAGCAACTAAAAAATAAGCTAAACCTCACAATTGTGACAAGTCGTGTGTTTAACAAACCAATGCAGCATTTAGAATCCACAAAGCAATATTAAAAACATTAACAAAATAGTAACTAAAGATATAAGCTAAGTACTAAGTTCATTCATACCCCCGGTCACACACCCCATCTCTGCACCCCCATGACTCATAACCTTTCATTCTGTTCAGTTCATTAAAATACAATCATACCTCGGGTTACAGACACTTCAGGTTGCACATTTTCAGGTTACGGATGCGCCAAAACCTGGAAGCACCGAAATGGGTTACTTCTGGGTTTCGGCGCTCGCAGATGCACGGAAGCACTGAATCACACTTTGCACATGCACAGAAGCTCCGAATTGCAACCCGCACATGTGCAGATACGGTGCTGCAGGTTGCAGATGCTGTGGGTTGCAAACGTGCCTCCCGCACGGATCACGTTCGCAACCCAAGCGTCCACTGTACACAAATGCACATAATGTCCATCACTGCCCATGGGTCTGCTCTTCTGACCCACAGCTTCACTCTGCCCTCTCGATGTGGCAGCCTCCCAGTCGATCCAGACAGATTTCCTGCCCGCTCCTGTCCTAAAGCGCATTATGGGATGCAGCTTGATATGGTGTCCCAATCCAGTTTGCCAGCATGGCAGCCCAGTGGATCGGCATCATCTGAGCCTTAGCTTTCAAAGGCCTCTCTTAGCCTACCAGTGGGAGGATAATATGGAGAAAGCCAGTCTGACCTCTCTTGGGAGGGAACCTCACAACCTGGGAGCGGCCGCCGAAAAGGCTCTCTCTGGTTGATCCCTCTGACGTCGAGGGCACTGAGAGAAGGTTCTCACACAGGGAGGCAGGTTCGCATAGAGACAAGCACCCCCAAGGCACGCACGAAACCTCAGACGACAGCCCAGATTGCAAAGATCTGCATGGCACCAGCCCCTTCTGGCCCAGCGACTGTGGCGCTGGTGGGATTCAGGGATGCAAAGGCTGGCTGAGGCGATGCCCCTTGTGAGCGTCGCAGGTGCCAACCTCCCTCCCTCCACAAATCCTTTTGAGGATTTGAGGGTGTGAGGCTCCAGTAGCCTTGGCAAAGCCAGGGTGCTCCAGGCGTGCTGTTTTGGGTGCTTGCCTGCCTGAGTTCCTCGGATGACCTCAGAACCCTGCCCTGCTCCTGACGATAACATCACATGGCGATGCCATGGAGACGAGGAGCATCAGAGCGTTTGGGAGGCTGTTGTGACGGCGCAGGAGACAGGAGCGGCTGCTGGTTTCTCAAGGGCTGAGGATCCTGCTGTGCTGTCTCCCTATTTAGGACAGCCTCTGTGTGACTTGGGGCGATGGGATGGGCTTGTTCTGACAGCCTGATTCTACTCCTCTCCCCCCCTCTCTCGCCCTGCCTACCCCACACACAACCGGAGCTTTCCAGGACACATTCATAACGCGCCAGATCACCTTGGGACAACTCCATCTCCCTTGCATGTTTTACTTTTGTGCTCTAGAATTGGATATGCTATTCTTGCTGTGGCATACGAGGTAATAGAATACAGAAAGGAAACGCACTTTGAAAATGGAGCTCTGTGCATAACTCATAAGAACATGAGAAGAGGCCAGCTGAAGGAGGCCAATGGCCCATCTAGTCCAGCATCACGTTCTCACCATGACTGACCAGATGCCTGTTGGAAACCTGCAAGCAGGACCTGGGCACAAGAGCCCACTTTCCCCTCCTGTGCAACTGGATTCAGAAGCATTGCTGCTTCCATGGGTGGTAGCCATCAATAAGCTGACTTTCCATGAAAACACATATTTTGCATTTATTTCTCCAGACAGCAGCTCACCTCTAGGCCCTAGCCTGGACTCTCCCTCCTTGGAGGTTTTTAAGCAGAGCTTGGATGTCCTTCTGTTATGGATGCTTTAGTTGACATTCCTGCAGTACAGAGGTACCTCAGGTTACAGACGTTTCAGGTTACAGACGCTTCAGGTTACAGACTCTGCTAACCCAGAAATAGTACCTCGGGTTAAGAACTTTGCTTCAGGATGAGAACAGAAATTGCGTGGTGGCAGTGGGAGGCCCCATTAGCTAAAGTGGTGCCTCAGGTTAAGAACAGTTTCAGGTTAAGAACGGACCTCCAGAACGAATTAAGTTCTTAACCCGAGGTACAACTGTACATTTCAGTTCACTTTTAATTTGTTACACTGCCTTTCTATGTTACTATACATACATAAGGTGATTCACGAGCTGAAGAAACAAGAAAATAGACAGCAAAGGTCACACACGTAATAACAATCTGATCCAGTACCCCCCCCAAAAAAGTCACAATAACTTTGAAAGAAACAACTTAGATCAAATAAAGCAATACAGTCGTAACTTGGTTTCCAAACTGCAGCCAATCAGAAAGCACGCTTTGGTTTCCGAATGTTTTGGAAGTCGAAGCTATGACTGTATTCAGCAATCCATTGTAATAGAATAATGAACAATAAAATTAAAGGTCAACAAATAATAAGTAAACAGTTTACACTTATCAGTTACAATAAAGAATTACTAAACTATGATCAATAAAAATAACGGCAAGTCACAATGCATAAAATACCACAAAACATACAAAACCGTGTAAAAGGGTCAAATTGAGATACAAGGTTGGACTAGATGACCTCAGTGGTCTCCTCCAACTTTGAGATTCTATACTTCTGTTGTTCCATTCTCCTTAATTAGACTTTGCTGTCGCAGATCAGCCTGCAAGCCTCCCATCCTGAGTCTGGGGTGTGTGTTCAGGATTCGAACTGAGTGCTGTGCCTTCTGTGAGGGCGGAGAGATGTATTTATTCATTATTGAATTTAGATCCCACTTTCCCTCCCAAGGAGCTCAAGGGTGGTGTACGTAGTTCTCCCCACACCTCCTCACTTTAAACCCTCACAACAACCCTGTGAGGTAGGTCACGCTGAGGAACGGTGGCTGGCCCAAGATCACCCGGCGAGCTTCATCGTGGCCGAGTGGGAAAATGAACACCGGTCTCCCAGGCCCTCTAGCCAGGTGCTCTAACCATTGCACCATGCTGCCTGGCTCTCTCACTGCCTTTCGCTCTTCCAGGTGAGCACGGTGCGGATGCAAGGTGTCATCCTGATGGTCTTTGCCAAGTACTACCACCTGCCGTTTCTACAGGACATCCAGACGGACTGCACCAGGACGGGACTGGGAGGGTACTGGGTAAGTGTCAGGGGCCATGCTGAGGAGGGCTGCACTGAGGAAAAAGGTGGGATCTACCCCCTCCCCCTGATCCTGAATCTTCCCAGAAGCAGGAGGACAGTATAGATTTGGAACAACGGTTTGCAGAGGGGCATAGTTCAGAAGGCAGAAGCTGGGAAATGCTGGATGGGGAACAGCTAGGAAAAGAAACACTGGGGGGAGAGAGGGTTAACAGATTCACTGTCTGGAAAGCATTCCTCCGCTCTCCCCAAGGTCAAGAAGAGCTCAGAAAGTGGCAGAACAGGAGAGACCTGTCAGGAGTAAGCATGGACCAATGGTACCAAATAGTATGGGAAACAGCCCTACTAGAAAAATTAACTAATAAACTGAAACTGACACAGGGACAAATAGAAGAAGCCACCTTCATGGCTCCCCTTTATCACATACACAACTCAACAAGACAACGACAAAAGTCCACCAACAGCATACAAATCAATATGGCTAACCTGATCCAAAACACACACCCCCCCACTCACACATGAAAACAAAGACCACCACAGCTCACCACAAATGAACAACCCACACCCTAGGCCAACCCCAACCTCTCTCACCACCAAAGGAACACAAGTGAACAGCAGAGAACCTGCACAAGCAACGCTGACACCAAACCCCACATATAGTAAGTAAAATAGAAACATCACCACCCGACCCCACCCCCACCCATCTTCCCCCCCCTCCACCTCTTCCCCCCTTTTCTTCCCAATGTCTCAACAAATGAAACTGATTTGTAAAAACTTTAGATGGGGGAAAAATATGAGAGAGAGACATTGCACACACTTTTGTAAATCAAGAAAATCAGATAGATAGATAGATAGATAGATAGATAGATAGATAGATAGATAGAGGCAGAACAGAAAACACAGCGGCTCCAAGCTCAGATTACAAGACGTAGGAGTGACGTAGTTTAATAGGGACGGAGGGAGGAGGGAACTTAATTGGGAACACTGCAGATTTCTAGGAGCAGTGTTCTTTGTTCTCTCGCTGTGATTATTAAAGTTTCTAACTGGTAAGAAGACTCCTTTTCCTTTGTTCCGCTTATCTACTGCCACGGGGGGAGGAAGCTGATTCCCTGAAGCCTGAAATAACAACAATAACAATAACAACAATAATAATAATTTATTATTTATACCCCACCCATCTGGTTGGGTTTCCCCAGCCACTCTGGGCGGCTTCCAACAAAACACTAAAATACAGTAACCTATTTAAACATTAAAAGCTTCCCTAAACAGGACTGCCTTCAGATGTCTTCTAAAAGTTTGGTAGTTATTTTTCTCTTTGACATCTGGTGGGAGGGCGTTCCACAGGGCAGGTGCCACTACCGAGAAGGCCCTCTTCCTGGTTCCCTGTAACTTGGCTTCTCGCAGCGAGGGAACCGCCAGAAGGCCCTCGGTGCTGGACCCCAGTGTCCGGGTAGAAAGTGTGCATGGGTCCAAGGGCTCAGAGTGAAGGCGTAGCCCCTGGCGGCAGCTGATCCATACCTTTCTCCCTCCCCAATGCAGGGCAATAAAGGTGGGGTGAGCATCCGCCTCTCCATCTTTGGCAACATGGTCTGCTTCCTAAACTGCCACCTACCGGCACACATGGAGAAGGCAGAGCAGCGCAAGGAGGACTTCACCACCATCCTCCACATGCAGCAGTTCGAAGGGCCGTCAGCCAGCGGGATCCTTGACCACGAGTAAGTCTCAGTCCCAGGTGCATTGCATCTCAATTGCCCCGCCCATTTTTCCTTTGCCCCGCCCACCCCTGGCATGTCCCCCTCCCCCACAAACGTTGTCTGGAAGGGAATGTGGCCCTGTGGCTGAAAAGCTCTCCTGTATGATAGAGAGTCCGATCTTTTCTCCTGGATAATCGAGTTGGAAAGGGCCCCCCAGTGCTCATCTAGTCCAACCCATTGCAATGCAGGAATCACAACTAAATAAACCTGGACAGATGGCCATCCAACCTCTGCTTAAAAACCTCCAGTGAAAGAGAGACCCCACTGCCTTCCGAGAGAGACCATTCCACTGTCGAACAGATCTTATCATCAAAAAGTTCTTCCTGATGTTTAGTTGGAAGGCGATTTTGAGCAGAGAGAAGCAAGAAGGAAGATGGGCAGGACTCCCAATCCACCCCAGCCTCCGTTCCACTGCCTCGGTTATTTCCCCTCTTCCTAGTCATGCTGGTCTCTGAGACTCCTTTTCAATGTGTACGAATACGTATCTTCCTATATAAATAGAAATGTAAGGTGTTGTCACGCTCTGTAGTTCACACGGCTGCCAGCAGGTGGCCACACCAGCTGCACCACGAGGAATGGCAGGCAGGCTCACAAAAGCTGTTGGTGAGGTCAGCCATGGAGAGGATAGGTGGGTGAGATTTAAAGGGTGGGGGGAAGGGCAAAGGGGTAGGCGGGGTTGACAAACGGAGTGAGCAGGGGAACCAGCCCCTAATGCACACATACTTATTTATAGGCTGTTTTTTCCTAGGGCAGAACACTAATAAGAAAGCTTACATCTGCCTTTCTTAGCCAGGTGCCCTCCAGCTGTTCTGGACTTCCATCAACCTCAGCCAGAATAGCCTGGAAAGCACCGGACTGAGAAAGCTGGGATTATGTAATCATGAAATTACTTTGGAAACAAGGCACTTTAAGACTTTTGAAAGACCGCGGCATTTTTGTGTGTGTTTAAAACAGCAATGACACATAGGCCATTTAATCTGAATGTTAATAAAACAGCAATCCAGATTCTAAGTGATATATATCTTCCTATATACATAAAAAAGTGAGGCTGTCATCGCGCAGTCCCCCCGTTGGAGGATCTGTGGTACTGCATCACCTTCTTGGATTTGCATGATGGGGGAAAGAGAACAAAATAGAAGGGCAGTTTTTTAAATGGAGGTTTTACATAATGGCAGAGGTTGCAATGAAGCAGGGATAGAGGGACACAGAGGAGCTGAGTAGGGATGAGGTGGGGCAGCTGAAGGAGCTGTGAGGGAGTATGGAGGCTAAAATTGCAGAGTTGGAAGGGACCCCTGTGGGTCATCTAGACCAGTGTTCCCCAACCTTGGGCCTCCAGCTGTTTTTGGACTACAGTTCCCATCATCCTTGACCACTGGTCTTGCTAGCGAGGGATGATGGGAGTTGTAGTCCAAAAACAGCTGGAGGCCCAAGGTTGGGGAACACTGATCTAGACCAACCCCCTGCAACGAAGGAATTGTGGCTGAAAGTCCATGACAGATGGCCATCCAACCTCTGTTTAAAAGTCTCCAGTGAAGTAGAACCCATCACTTTGAGTGAGTCCATTCTGCTGTAGATCAGCTCTCATTCAAGTCCTCCCCTCTGGAGCAGCAGAAAACAAGCTTGTAACAGCCCTTTAGGTATTTGAAGAAGGCGATCAAGTCATTCTTCTCTTCTCCAGGCTAAGCTAACTCCCTCCCCTCCCTCCCCCTGTCTCTCTCACACATCCAGGGGGTGGGGAGAAATCGATGGACGGAAAGCATTTGCTCAGAAATCGTGCCCAACCCAAACCAGATTCCCAGAACTCACAGGCGAATTTCCATCTTCAAAGTGGTTGCTTTTCTGACACACACAAAAAAAAATTAAGGGAAAAAAATATGGGAGGGTATCAGTGCTAAGTGCAATCTGTCTCCCTGCCCCCCCCACCATCTGCCCACATCACTTCTGCCATCTGATTCCGACTGGTTCCTGCTGGTGGAAATGTGTCTTTGTGGGCCGCCCAGGTGGGCAGGCTGGCACACGCAGGGCTTGCTGTGACATCTGACCCTTTTGAAGCCTGAGACTCTCTTTATCGGGAGGCTTCGACTAACCAGGCGGCGCTCGAAGCTGAGGCCGATGGTCCAGGCCACCTGATCCATTCGGTGGCGGAGCAGTTTGGAAGTCAGCCAGGAGGGCTTCCGGCTGGCGTTGACCTACATCCCGGCTCAGAATCTCGGCTTAGCCACCGCTGTTTGTTCCCTGCAAAAGCCTCCTTCCTCTGCTGCTTGGGAGGGAGGGCTCCTTCTCCCCTCGATCGTGTCCCAGTTGTTTGTTTGCGTGTGTGTGAGAGAGAAATGGCTGGTTGTTTTTTTTAAAAAAAAGAAGTATTTTTTTTATTGGATTTATATACAGTGGTACCTTGGGTTACATACGCTTCAGCTTACATACGCTTCAGGTTACAGACTCCGCTAACCCAGAAATATTACCTTGAGTTAAGAACTTTGCTTCAGGATGAGAACAGAAATCGTGCTCCGGCAGCGCGGCAGCAGCAGGAGGCCCCATTAGCTAAAGTGGTGCTTCAGGTTAAGAACAGTTTCAGGTTAAGTAAGGACCTCCGGAACGAATTAAGTACTTAACCCGAGGTACCACTGTACTGCCTTTCATCAAAAGATCTCAGGGCCGTTCCCAATATGAAAACACACAATAAAAGCACAAACAGATACTGTATTTTTCGCTCTATAAGACGCAGCAGACCATAAGACACACCTAGTTTTTGGAGGAGGAAAACAAGAAAAAAATATATTCTGAATCCCAGAAGCCAGAACAGCTAGAGGGATCTGGCTTCTGGGATAGCCTCTTGCTGTTCTGGCTTCTGGGATAGCTGGGCGAAGCCTCTCCTGGGCGGCGGGAGGAAGGCTCCCCCAAGAGCCACGCTCCCTTTAAAGAGCACGCGGAGCATGTGTGCGGCTCTTGGGGGCTTTTTCCCGAGGAGGGAAAAGGGCAGCACTTCTCCCTCCTTGGGGAAAAGCCCCCAAGAGCTGCACACACGCTCCACGCGGCTCTTTAAAGGAAGCGCTGAGCAGAGCCTCCCGCCTGCATTCGCTCCATAAGACGCACACACATTTCCCCTTACTTTTTAAGAGGGGGAAATTGTGTCTTATAGAGCGAAAAATCCAGTAGTTAAGCAGGCCATTGAGATACTGCAATTAATTCGCACAACGAAGGAACAGCTTTTCCCTGGCTGCCTTGCTCTCCAACATCTGATAGCCCTGCTCTTTTACATGGAGGTTCTCCAGTTAGGTGAACAGCCACACTGCTAGACGTCCTCTGTGAATGTGTCTAATTTTCTGCCTTCCCTCCTGACTTGGCCGTGCTGTGGGCTCAAACAGCCGAGGGTCCCGGCCTCACCTGTGTCTCCTTTCCCTTCCACCCCCCCCCAGCATCGTCTTTTGGTTTGGGGACCTCAACTTCCGCATCGAGAGCCTAGACATCCGCTTTGTGAAATACGCCATTGATAACAACATCCTCCACCAGCTCTGGGAGAAGGACCAGGTGAGGGCTCACTTTCTCTAATAAGTACATTAATTATTAAGGGACACGGGTGGCGCTGTGGGTTAAACCACAGAGCCTAGGACTTGCCGATCAGAAGGTCGGCGGTTCGAATCCCCGTGACGGGGTGAGCTCCTGTTGCTCAGTCCCTGCTCCTGCCAACCTAGCAGTTCGAAAGCACATCAAAGTGCAAGTAGATAAATAGGTACCGCTCCGGCGGGAAGGTAAATGGCGTTTTCGTGCGCTGCTCTGGTTCGCCAGAAGCGGCTTAGTCCTGCTGGCCACATGACCCGGAAGCTGTACGCTGGCTCCCTCTGCCAATAAAGTGAGATGAGCACCGCCACCCCAGAGTCGGTCACGACTGGACCTAATGGTCAGGGGTCCCCTTACCTTTAGGTTCTTCCCTATGTGACACTGCTCTCATCCTTTCTCTCTCTATGCCTTGGGCTCTTGTTTTATGCAGCTGAACATCGCTAAGAACACCTGGCCTATCTTGAAGGGCTTCCAAGAGGGACCCCTCAACTTCCCCCCAACCTTCAAGTTTGACGTGGGCACCGACATGTATGACACCAGGTAATGCGGCGTGTCTGGCTGGACTGGACGGGGCATTCTTATCCTAAGTGGAGGGATAGGGAAGAACCGCTGTGCCCTCGGGCACTTCCTTTAGCGCCCGCTCATTCTGCTCTCTCGCGTGCCTCACAGCGCCAAGAAAAGGAAGCCGGCTTGGACCGACCGGATCCTGTGGAAGATCAAAGGCACTGGCGCACCGACACATCCTGGGAGATCCATCTGTGGCCTCCTGTCTGTGAACCAACTTTGCTATTGCAGCCACATGGAGTACACCGTCAGTGACCACAAGCCGGTAGTCTCCATCTTTGCCGTGAAGGTGAGTCTGGAGCCCTGGTGGAAAGTGACGCAGCCGGGAATCTCTGGGCTGTCCTGGCTGTGCGCCAAGTCAGGTCTGTGCTGTTGTGAGTGGGGAAGATCAAGGCCTCTCTTCAACCAATAAACTGGGACAGAGAATTTTGCTCTGTCTATTGAATTCTTCTCCTAAAACTGTGGTTTCCAAACTTTGGGGGGGCCCTCTGCTGCCCCCTTGGTTCCATAAACTCTACCCAATGCAAAGCATTAATCGTTATTGTGGTTTGCACGATCCACTAAGGAAGATAATAATAAAATTAGAAACAGTGGAAGATGCACATTTATTCAAAATCCAATTGAAATTACAGGCAATGACCATTCTGCACACATTCAAGGCAGGCTTAGCTGTGCATGCACATCCTGTTCGGACCTGGAAGAGGGTGTAACAGGTGTGATGACAGGCTTACATGTGCTACACAGTCATGTGTGATGACCTGTAACACAATCCCTGTGCAAATCAGGGGTTGCTTGTATTTAGTTTAACCCCACAAAACCGATGAACTCGTGATACCAGCTGTTAAAGCCTAATAGTCATTTACGACTCCAGTGTGGGAATGTTAAGGACAGTGGGAGAGGATATATTGATTAAATATTATCCTTCCTTCACTCACGCTAGTGAGTCATGTAGCAGAGCAGATTCCCCTCAGGAAGCTAGTTTGCAGATTCGTTTGAATCTCTTTAGTTAAGCAATCCAGTCTGGCTTGAACAGCCTGGATTTTTCCTGGTGTCCCCTTTGATCCCTCTTAAAAGACAAGAGTCTTTCCTTAAAAGTAACAAGAAGTTTACTCACATTCAGTTCACAGTATGATCCATGAAGGCAGATTTTAGCTTGTAGTTACAGAACATAGTGTGAATTCATGGGATTGAGCCCATGTGCTGCTGGCTGAGAGCCAGCAGACAGCAAAATACATTAAGGGAGCAGCATCAAGAGAACAAAATGGCTGCAGGGGAGCAGCATGGCATCAAGAGAGAGTAGTGGCTGCGTGATTCGGCTCTTTTATGGAGTCAGCCAGGGTCACGCCCATCTCCCAGATCACATGCAGGGGGAGGACGCTCCAGACCAGTAGAACAGGAAGTTACACTGATTGGATGTTCCCCTGCCTGTGCCCACTCTAGGGAAACAAGGAATGTTGTATTTGACTGCTCCAATGGATTACATCCCACATCCAGAACTCCCTGATGCCCCCTTGACTTTTGTTGTCCCCCTAGGTAATCCCACCACTTCCTAGGGGTTTCTTAGCAGGTTGCTGTGAGTTGTCGAACATAGCAAAGCCCGGCTCATATAATAATAACAATAATAATAATAATAATAATAATAATAATAATAATAATAATAATAATAATAATTTATTTATACCCTGCCCTTCCTGGTTCAGAAAACCAGGCTCAGGGCAGCTAGCAATAAATTTAAAACACTTAATTGATGCAACAAAAAACAGCATAAAATACAGTATAAAACGTGAATAAAAATAAATTCAGAATTCAAAAATCCAATAAACATTAGATGAACATCAGGACTAGCTGGCTAAATTAGTCCTATTTGGGCCAGCAAGGAGAACCAGGGGAGAATTAGCTGTGGGATCCAGAGCAGGTAATCTTCATATAAACCACCTGTTCCCCTTTCTCTCTCTCTCTCTGGCAGTTTGCTTCCAGGGCTGACGTGCCGCTGGTGGAGCTTCAGGTAGCTGATGAGTGGACGAAACCCGAACAAGCTGTCACCTGGTACAAGGTGTCTTCGAGCTATCACCGCAGCTCCTGGGACTGGGTTGCCCTTTACCGGGTAAGAGGCAGTTGCCGCACATAGTGGTTTTCCAGTAACACCTGACTGAGGGCTGCAGCGACACGAGGGCAGAGCATATAAAATAAAGGAAGCTTTGAGTGTGCCAGCTTCTGCACACAGGGGAATGGGCTGTGATGTGCACTGTGAGATTTTGCACAGCTTATCTCCCCCCCCTCCCACAGCAGCTGACCTCTTGCAAAGCTCACCTTCCCTGCATGCAATATCCCAATTCCGTTTCCTTTTTTCTGCCATCACTGTTAAGACGAAACGAAGAATGAGAATAAAAGAAAACAACTTTTTGTGTGTGCATGGGCTAGTCTATCTCTCAGTGCTTTTCAGAGGACATCAGGAAGGGATGTTAAGAAATTCAGGGGTGGGGTGGGAAAACCCCCAATCTTTGTATTCTGCACCAGTGGCGTAGCGTGGGGGGTGCAGGGGGGACCGGCCGCACCGGGCGCAACATCTGGGAGGGGGCACGCTCGCCGCCTCCGGAGTCGCCGAAGAGCCTTGGGTGCAGGCTGTAGCAGAGCCCCATGTCTCGCGGAACCGACGAGCTGGCAGCGGCTCTCAGCGCTCGCCGTGGTCCCCGCGTGTCAGGGCCGTGGAGGGCGTGCCAGGCAGCCCCTCCTCACAGCCCCTCCGCTGCAGCTGCAGCTGCAGGGCCATGTTGCATTTTCCTCGCCTCTCTGCCCTCCTCCTCCTCCGGGCAAGCGGCGTCGTTTGGGCGGCAGCGCCAGCGGCAACTCGCCTCAGATCACCTGACACGGACCCGCCGCTGCCGCCGCGGCTACTTTACCGTAAATCCCCCCAGCCCAGGCAGCAGCAAGAAGAAGCTGGCAGCGGCGGCAGGTTAGGGGTTAGGGGGCGCAAATTACTTGCCTTGCCCCGGGTTGCTGACAACCCACGCTACGCCGCTGTTCTGCACATACATTTCAGAAAGGCGGCCAGATGATATTATATTTAACCTGACAGTTCTGTCTCCTGTGTTTTATCTTTGACAACCCAATCTAATACCACCAAAATCCATTACTATTTCTCATTTAGTTTCTCATTTAGTTTCTTTCCACTGAAAGTGTCAGGAAGCCAATAAATATTTTACAATCCCTGACTGCGAAAGGCAGCCTGGATGAACCGCAATTATTACAAATGCAATGTTTTTAAGTGTTCCAAGCATAATCCTGCTACCATTCTTATAAAAGCCCTATTGGGTAGGACTGCGTTATTATTCCCGCTACTGCAGGTAGCTAAGATAAAGCAAATTACTTTGGGCCACCTGGTCTGGACAGGCTCTCCCAAGATCATTTTCCTCTCTGCTCTGTTCCGCCACCTCTCTGGGGAAAAAGCTAGGATTAAAACAATTTCAGGATGATTTCCAGAAAGTGATGATTCCCAGGGCCAGACCTCCAAGGCATCTGATCGAAATTATTCATGCTGCAAAGGTGGAGGGAGCAACAAACAGCCACATGACAACGATGATCAGCAGCGATGCTTGCTCTGTGCTGTGGGAGGTTCAGAAACAGCACAAATGAAGGCTGCCAAAAGGCCCGGTGACCACTAATGTCAGTATTCAACACTTACCAGCCGAAGCTATAGAACATTTGGCCAGTTTGCCATGCCCGGAAAACAATGGGCCGGCTCATAAAAGAGTAATCCCTAAAAGTTCCTTGGGAAATAATTGACAAAGATCAGACCAGAGGCAAACACCAGCCGGCTCCCTATCTCCGCGGAAATTCGACACCATTAGAAACAAACAGGCTCAATCCTTACCTACAAACCAAGCAAAAGTAGTTCTTTCCCTGAAAGGCGCATCCAACCCACCCCAGAGCCTTAAAATTGTCTCCTGGAATGTTAACGGCTGGGCGACAAAGCAAATGGATCCTGAGGCAATAAACTTTATCTCTTCTTTTGACATTGTGTGCCTCCAAGAGACCTGGTCCCAACAAAGTATCACTCTCCCATATTATTGTTCCTTTAGCTCCTGTGCTCGCAAACTAGCTAACGGGGTCGCCCTCAAGTTGGCCTCGCCTGTCTTATCTCAACCAGCTTATCCCTCACTATCTGCGAGGAACTTAAATCTTCCCCTTACTTTCTCACTATAAAGATCCACCTTCCAAAGACCAAAAGCCCATGGTTGATAACTACAGTATATCTGCCTCCAGCAATTAATGATTCCGACCGTAATGAAAGGTGGTCTGAACTTTCGTCTTGGCTTCATGACCTTCAAACAACTAACCCAGGACTTCCTCAAATCCTCTTAGGTGACTTTAATGCAAGAATAGGTCCCAACGACGATGCTATATTATCTTCCGCAGCACTTCTGGACAATCCCCTGCAGCACCCCTGGGGAAATAGATGCTCTCTTGATCCCATAACAAATGCGTCGGGGAGGCTGATGGCCCAATTGGCCATCGAAAACGATCTTTGCATCGCAAATGGCAACGTTACTCCCTTGTCCTCGCAGCAGTTAACGTGCATCTCTTCCCGGGGGACCAGTGTTGTCGACTACATTCTATTGACGCCGGAGCTATTCTCAATTTCTACAAAAATGGAAGTGGCTGAATATTTTGGTGGTGACCACCTTCCATTGACTTTAATGTTAAGCCTAATAGAGCCATTCTCAGTCCCCTCGAACTATAGTTCCACCGTACAAAGCTACCCTGTATATAAAACAAAGAAATGGACAAGCCTCAGCTCCTCTCTTGCCCTGGACATACAAAAATCACTTGATATGCCTACAGTTCTTTCTGACTCAATTCCGCCCGCTGACCAATACCAGAAATTAATTGATGCTTTTTCAACAACTTACATAACCATTACCTCGCCTACCCACCAACGCTTCTTCTCCGAATCACCCTGGTTTGACAAGGAATGTAAAGTCCTAAGAAGGCGAATTAGGAAAATGGTCAGAATCATCAAATTTTCCAACGACCCCCAAACCCGTGCAGAGCTTCTAGTTACTAAAAGGACATACAGAAACATGATTCATTGCAAGAAACAGCAACACATCCTTGAGGCTTGGTCCACTCTTCGTTCAGCTGTAGAGAGGCATGACTCCCGCTCCTTTTGGCGCTTAGTTAGGCCTTCGGCACCACCCAATTCAGCTATCCTGATTTCCGCTGACGAATGGATCGCTTATTATTCGGCCAGTTTCGCTTCTCCAAATAATCTTATAGATCACCTTCAATCCCCGTCGGACCTCTGTTCCCGTTCTCCTAGCTCCACCTCCTCAGTAAATTTTACCTCAACCCGCATCTTCAACATCATAATGTCCATGCGTAGGAATAAGGCCCCCGGCCCAGACATGGTCCCGTTGGACCTTTTCCTGACTGATCCTCTTTGGTGGAGTGAACAGCTGACTTCTGTATTCACCGCTATCTCCTCCGCCTTAGACATCCCCGACTCCTGGAGAGAAGCTACAATAGTCCCGATTTTCAAAGGCGGCCAGCCAAACATCCCTAGGAACTATCGCCCCATCAGCTTACTATCTATTCCGGGGAAAATATTTGCCGCTGTCTTACTGGAAGAACTTCTTTCATGGGTCCATGAGAGAAACATTCTACCGCCAGAACAGATTGGCTTCCGGAAGTCAGCATCAACCATGGACCACTGTCTAACTCTTTATCACCTTGCCAGTAAATACACTGCACCAAGGCAAGGCCACCTGTTTGCCGCTTTCATGGACCTGGAGGCCGCCTTTGATTCCATTCCTAGACAGAGATTATGGTCCAAACTTGCCCATTTGGGAATTGATCCACACCTCCTTTCCCTAATTATTTCCCTTTATTCAAACACCACAGCTCGCGTTCGAATTGGTCCCAACGGCTACCTTACCACCCCATTCCCAACGGCCAGGGGCGTCCGACAAGGTTGTCTCTTGGCCCCTTGATAAAGATTAATCTTCATGACGCCCTTTCCCCTTTGAAGCTAGCAACTAAGTACCCTCCTCACTTAGCAGGCCACCCCGTTGCTTCCCTTTTCTATGCGGATGATGCCGTCATCTTATCCAGAACAGCTGCGGACCTAGCAAATGCAGTTAATGCATTTATCGCCTATTGTAAGGCGGAAGCTCTTAATATTAATTATAAAAAATCGAAAGTTCTCCACTTCACTCGTTCCCGCAAACTCAAGCTGGAGCCGCTTAAGATCACAGGTGGCTACTTAGAAAAGGTAAAAGCCTTTAAATATCTAGGCTTAATATTTACTTATAATCTCTCCTGGACCACCCATCTACAATCTGCCTCTCTTGCTGCAACTACAACCTCTAATGCCATTGTCCGATTTTATCACCAGAAGGGCGGCAAACACCTTCCAGCAGCAATTCAAATGTTTAATGCCAAAGTTGTCCCTAAACTATTATATGGCTGCGAAGTATGGACTACAGCAATATCAGGTAACTTGGATCGCCCACTTCACATGTTTCTGAGATCTCTTTCCGGTGTCCCAAGATGTGTCTCAGGTGCAGCCTTACGTCTTGAGTTCGCCCAGCCCTCAATTGTAAAACGAGCATGGAGTCGAGCCATTTCCTACAGCTCCCACCTACTACCATCGGATGCTCGAATTAGAGGTGGTTTCTCCAATCTGATCCTAAGAGATATTCATAATTCTCCTTGGAAAACTACAATTAATCTCAAATTCCGCTCTCTTCTCAATTTGAACCGCAAAACTGTTTTTAATTTAGAGTGTATAAGCCCGGCAGCCCTACCTCTAATCAAAAAGAAGCTGCAGCAACTTGACTTCTCTAACACAGCTTCCCATGCAAGAGGGCCGTGTTCAGGCTTAGCCCTAGCTATTCCACCCCCTGAAGGGATCCCTCTATACTGCTTTACAATTCCTTCGGAGGCTAAACGAAGGGCCTTTACCTGTGCCTGTCTCAACTGTTTTCCTACAGCAGTTCTGTCGGGTCGTTACTCCAGAGTTCCCAGCGCAAATAGAACATGCTCCTGCAATGACACAGTTCTGGAGACTATGGAACATGTAATGCTCTTCTGTCCCAACTGGACAGATGAAAGATCTCGGTTCCTAACTCCTCTCGTGAACAAGCTTCATCTCCCAATCCAGCCTTGGATAGTGTCCCTTCTTCTGCAGGATTCTGACCGTTGGATTACCGAGATGACAGCTAATTTCCTGCTTAGTGTGATGAAGAGGAAAGCGGCACCAACTCCTTCCTCAATACCACAGATGTAGTCGATACGCCGCACAATCGAACCTGTTTTTTGTATTCTCTGTCACTCAATGTTTTAAATCTCCCGTTACCTTTGTTATCCCCATTTTCTCAAAGTATTCGCCCAGAACGGCATACACTTTTATCTCCCCACCCCCATTTTATGTTGTTATTTCTATGTATATTATGCTATGGCCGCATGGCTAATGCAATAAAATCATTATTATTATTACAAATGCAATGTTTTTAAGTGTTCCAAGCATAATCCTGCTACCATTCTTATAAAAGCCCTATTGGGTAGGACTGCGTTATTATTCCCGCTACTGCAGGTAGCTAAGATAAAGCAAATTACTTTGGGCCACCTGGTCTGGACAGGCTCTCCCAAGATCATTTTCCTCTCTGCTCTGTTCCGCCACCTCTCTGGGGAAAAAGCTAGGATTAAAACAATTTCAGGATGATTTCCAGAAAGTGATGATTCCCAGGGCCAGACCTCCAAGGCATCTGATCGAAATTATTCATGCTGCAAAGGTGGAGGGAGCAACAAACAGCCACATGACAACAATGATCAGCAGCGATGCTTGCTCTGTGCTGTGGGAGGTTCAGAAACAGCACAAATGAAGGCTGCCAAAATCCTTGCAGGAACCCAAAGGTTTTGGTGTGCACAAGAAAGACATTTTTTACAGCGTCAGATCTTTAGGTCACCTAGACAAGGGTCATTGCTTCTGACAAATCAGACCCCCGGTCTAACTAGCTCGGTATTGTCCCCACCAGGGAGTCAGGCAGGGGTCTTTCCCAGGCCTACCTGGAGATGCTGGAATTTGAAGCAGATACCTTCTACATGCCAAGCATGTGCTCTGCTACTGAGCTATGTCCCTTCCCAAAACCCTCTGGCTAAGCAGGTTAATTTTATTTTACTTTTTACTTTATTTCATTTGCATATGGACACGGGTGGCGCTGTGGGTTAAACCACAGAGCCTAGGACTTGCCAATCAGAAGGTTGGTGGTTTGAATCCCCGCAATGGGGTGAGCTCCCGTTGTCTGGTCCCAGCTTCTGCCAACCTAGCAGTTCAAAAGCACGTCAAAGTGCAAGTAGATAAATAGGTACCTCTCCAGCGGGAAGGTAAACGGCGTTTGCGTGCGCTGCTCTGGTTCGCCAGAAGCGGCTTAGTCATGCTGGCCACATGACCCGAAAGCTGTACACCGGCTCCCTCAGCCAATAAAGCGAGATGAGCGCCACAACCCCAGAGTCGGTCACGACCGGACCTAATGGTCAGGGGACCCTTTACCTTTACCTTTACTATGTATATGTGTATGTGTATACATATATACATATACATATACAAATGAAATAAAGTAAAATAAAATATGTGTGTGTGTGTGTGTGTGTACAGTGGTACCTCGGGTTAAGAACTTAATTCGTTCCAGAGGTCCGTTCTTAACCTGAAACTTTTCTTAACCTGAGGTACCACTTTAGCTAATGGGGCCTACTGCTGTCGTCGCGCCGCTGCTGCGCAATTTCTGTTCTCATCCTGAAGCAAAGTTCTTAACCTGAGGTACTATTTCTGGGTTAGCGGAGTCTGTAACCTGAAGCGTTTGTAACCCGTGGTACCACTGTGTGTGTGTGCTTTTCTTCTGGGGGGACGCAGGGGTATGCATACCCCGAAACATTTTGTGAATCTTTGTACTTTTGTCCATTTACTGTAATTATATTCCCCGATTTGAATTGTAAAATGGTGATTTTCTTGAGTCAAAATGAGATTACCCTAAACATTTTTTAGAAGGAAAGCACTGTATATATTACAGGTTCCAAATTAAAGTCAATTTTTATTGATTTCAAGAGCTGACACTCCCAGACCCTTTATAGTAGTATCATAATCATAGCATAATCCTAGAATCGTAGAGTCAGAAGGGACCGCTAAGGATCATCTAGTCCAACCCCCTGCAATGAAGGAATATGCAGCTGCCCCATACGGGGATCAAACCTGCAACCTTGGCCTTATCAGCACCATACTCTAACCTGCAGAGTGATCCTGTGGTTGGAAGATACAATAATAGGTGGGCTGTCAGGGGTTTCTTTTGGTGGGGGAGAGGATGCACAACCCCGCTGGGAAAAAGCCCTGGTGATGTTTTTCTGGACCCCTCCCTCTCTTCCCTCTCCCAGGTGGGCTTCCGACACTTGAAGGACTATGTTGCCTATGTCTGGGCAAAGCAGGAAGACGCCGAAAGCAACGTTTACCAGGTATGGGAATACAAGATTTTTTTTGGGGGGGGGGGGTAACAGTAAACAATTTTGCATTATGATATCATGGGAGTATGTATTTAAAGTGCTGCATAATAGGACGTGTTGGATTATAGTGGTACCTTGGTTCTCAAACTTAATCCGTTCCGGAATTCTGTTCCAAAACCAAAGCGTTCCAAAACCAAGGCACACTTTCCCATAGAAAGTAATGCAAATGGATGAATATGTTCCAGACTTTTAAAAACAACCTCTAAAACAGCAATTTAACATCAATTTTACTATAATTGATCCATAAAATGAAAGCAATAATCAATGCACTGTGTACTATAAAATAAATAAGACAGTGGATAAAAAATTACTTTTTTTCTTACCTGCACTGATGATAGTCATTGTTTGGATGGGGGGCTTTTATCCATTTCCGCAGTCACACAATCACTCAGTAGCTGAACTGGGTTCCACACAGTCACAAAAACAAATAAACCGAAAAAGCCTCAGAAACAAAAACGCAAAATAAATAGCAAAAACAAAAGCACCAAACTTAATCGGTTCAGGAAGTCGGTTTGACCTCCGAAATGTTCAAAAACCAAGGTGCGGCTTCTGATTGGTGCAAGCGCTCCAGAAACAATAGCCGACAGTCGCATTGGACGTTCGGCTTCCGAAAATCGTTTGAAAACTGGAACACTTACTTCTGGGTTTTTGCCGTTTGAGAACCAAGGTACCACTGTATGATATTCTTACTGATACCTATGTTATCATTTAGAGCAGGGTTTCTGAAACTTAAGTCTCCAGCTTCTTTTTGGACCACAATTCCCATCATCCTGACCACTGGTCCTGCTAGCTAGGGATGATGGGAGTTGTAGTAAAATAAATAAATCTGGAGACCCAAGTTTTGGAAACTGTGATTTAGAGTTTGTATGGCACATGCAAAGTGTATATTTATTATTGCATTAGACACTACCACCACTGGCTCTCTGCTGTTTAGGTTGGCATTTTGCTGCTCTTGGCCACCCTTATAGCTGTCCCGTTTTCTCTTACAAATATTTAGTTACTGTTTCCAGAGGAGTCTCTACCCAAAGGGAAGGGCGACTATATCCTGGGTTACTACAGCAACAGCTACAGCTGTTTGGTGGGTGTGACAGAGCCCTTCCAGGTAAGCACAGAGACAGATGTGCAAGAGGGATGCTTATTTGACATTAAGCAGCAATGCGAGTTTGGGGGGAAAGTGCTCTAGCTCAGTAGGTAGAGCATCTGCTTTGCATGCAGAAGGTCACAGGTTCGATCCCTGACATCTCCAGGTAGGACTGGGAGAGACCCCTGTCTGAAATCCTGGAGAGCGACTGAGTCATTGTGGACAATACCAAGCTGCAGGGGTGCCTACTTGATTAAATATTGGTGGGTTCAGGTAACCCCATATAAAGGTAAAGGACCCCTGGATAACCATCCAGTGAAAGGCGACTATGGGGTTGCGGTGCTCATCTCATTTTTAGGCCGAGGGACCCAGCGTTTGTCCACAGACAGCTTTCCGGGTCATGTGGCCAGCATGACTAAACCGCTTCTGGCACAATGGGACACCATGACAGAAACCAGAGTGCATGGAAATACTGTTTACCTTCCTGCCGCAGTGGTATCTCTTTATCTACTTGCACTGGCGTGCTTTTGAACTGCTAGGTTGGAAGGAGATGGAACAGAGCCACGGGAGCTCACCCCGTTGCGGGGATTCAAACCGCTGACCTTCTGAACAGCAAGCCCAAGAGGCTCAGTGGTTTAGACCACAGTGCCACCCTTTACCCCTTATAATCAATAACAAGCCGTGCCCCCCCCCATTTGAATAGCAATGCTCATCAACTTGAGAAGCGGGCCTGGCAGTTGAAATATTTTATTTGGGGGGTGGGGCAACTGAAGGGACCTCGGCCCCTAGGAATTGGCTCCTGTGCAGAGCTGACTGGGCCCGGGGTCTGACTTGCTTTGAGGCAGGTTTCCTATGTTCCAGGAAATTATGAACTGGAAACTTCTCAGGATAACGCGCACAGGATAAGCCCTGTGGAGTGACCTAATTCAGTATGTGTGCTTTCACTGGTGTTTAGTAAACCAAGCTTAAAAAGTTTAGATGGCGTGCTTCATTTTGCAAATTTCATAATGCATTTTTCTATGCACACTTTACACTATTAAATGCCTTTTCTCTGTACACCTTACATTGCAAAATCTGGAGAAGAGCAGCTTGTGAAGGTTGGCTGTGTTTTGATTTGCTTTTTGCTTCGCTAGGTGCAAATTAGATAGACTTGAAATTCTTCCCCCTACCCCTCCTCTCAACCTGTCCAGCCCAAAATTTATCAGGTAGTGGGGAGCAGCTGGGCCCTGCCTTCCCAAGTCAGTATTGACTCTCCTCTCTCCGTCTCCCTGCACACAGATTTCACTGCCCACCTTGGAGCAAGCCACCAGCCCCACCGACAGCTCCAGCAGCACCTCGGAAGAGGAGGACGACAGCACCCTGGTCCTGCTGGGCCCCAAATCCCGCAGCCCCAGCCCCGGGAAGATGAAGGGACACCGCAGCCGCAGCCCCAGTTTGGCCAAGTTCCATGGACTCATCCTGCGCTCGTCAAGCCGGGACCATGCGGCCAGCCGCAGCCCCTCACCCCAGGGCCGCCGGGGCAGCAGCATCCTCAAGAGCGACATCCCCAGCATCCAGTTCTCCAAGGACAGCCCCCGCCAACGCTCCAAGTCGCGAGAGCCTGCCCAGAACGCAGAGAGCCTCGCCGGGCCTCGCCTCCAGAGCCCCTGGCGCTTTGACGAGAACCCCCTGGCCCGCACAGACCCCCGCAACCTGGGGCTGCTGCCAGCCGTGCGCCTGGAAACCATCGATCAAGTCATGGGACCCCCGGCGAGAGAATGCCGATCAGGGGCCTGCCTCCCCGCAGGATGAGCCCCACCAGTCCGACCGTGGCCCTGGCCAACCTCTTCAGCACCTCCCCAAAGGAGGGGTTATCCCCAGACCACCAGGGTCCAAACCACCACAGCCGTGAGGCGGGACACTGAGGGGGACGCAGCCGGCCGCCATGAGCCCACTGTCCAACCATCCCGTGTAGTGAGCTTGCAGTGTTATCTCTCTGTGTCCTTTACCTGCCAGTTTTCTGCTCCGTGTGTGTCTTTCTCTCTCCCGGTGTGTGACACGAAGACCCGGGGAAGGGGGCTGCCACTTGTGAGGCCCCGTCTCCTGACTCGAGTATGCTTGACAATCAACTTCTTCCCTCCCTTTGTGTAGGGGGCTGAACAACGCGAGCGAAAAAGCCCTCAGCCCCCTCGGCCTTTTCAGCCATAGAAACTCCCCACTCCTTGTTTTGGGGGGGGGACCCATCCTTTGATGAGAACTCCCTTCCCCATTGAACATCCAGTTTGGTGTCGAGATGGAGCTCCACCCGCCTCTCCTAGCGCCATCTCTGTTCTTGTCCTGAGGCACGATGGTGGTGGAGGACGACGAAGAGGAAAGCCTGCTTCTTGCAATCCGACGGGAGGACAATTGATCAGCACAGTGGAATGGGCAGCTGCAGAAAGAGGAGCGCATGCCAGAAGCTTGGCTGGGTACAGGATGAAGACACACTTTTGCTATCGGTTGCTAAAGCTCTGCTTGGCTGGACTCAGTGGCTGCTGCAAGACCAGGCCCAGCCTGCTTGCAGGAAGTTGCTGAGACCATAAGAGGTGAAATACGGAACGTGCAATATGATGGGATGGGAAATCAGAGTTCTTGGAGACAGGTGTGGACCACAGATAGGAAGGCGGAAGCTGGTGCTTCAGGTCCGGTTAGGGCCCAGCTGGTATCCCCCCCTGCAAGGCTTGGGGGGCCCCTGAGGAATTGGGGGAGAACTACAAATGGCAGAAAGTTCTTGCTGGAGGGAAGCAGGTAGATGCAACCCAGTTGAGATTGTGGAGGTACAGGGGGGAGAGTTTGGGTTCCATTGCCTTACGAGGCGGCGGGGGGGGGGAGAGAACTCTGACCCAGGAAGCCAAAAACGGAACGGGTGTGTGTGTGCGCGAGGGGGCAGTATGTGTGGCTAGGTTGTCGGGGCAACGTGACCAAGGTGCCTTGGAACCAGAAATGACGAAAGCTGCCTGGGGGGGTTGGGGAAAGGGGAGGGTGGGGGGGCTGGCCTCCCCCAAGACAGATCCATGACCTTCGCTGGGACGAGTTCAGAGTTGATGCAATCTGTCCTACCTCACTTTTCCCTTCCGCCTCCTTTCCAATAATAATAATAAAAATCATCTACAAACCAACTTACGGATGACCGCATTATGTCTCTCTCTCCCCTGGCAGTGGCAAAGAACCCCGCCAACGTGGGATAGGATTTGTGTTCACACCTCTCCCCCTCAGCGTTCGGGCATCTTTCCTTGTGCTAAGCAGAACCCAGGCATACAGAAAAAAGCACTTTTATTCATTAGTACACTATTTACAGTAGCTGCAGCAAGAACCACCCCCCTCCCAATAAATTATAAGCAAGGGTGCAGAGTTTGGGGTACGTCCAGCTGCGACAACATCCTACAAAACACACAGCAAGAACTTTCTTAATAAATACACCATTAAGGGAAAAGGAGCAGGAAGAGGATTAAGGAGCAGGAGGGCTCATTTCTCCTTGGCGGGGTCCTCTCCCCTTCCACTTCCATTCCATGCCACGTAATCCAATGTCCCCCCCCCCCCCGTGAGTCCTCAAAGGGGTTGGAACCCATTTGTCTGCTGAAGATGAGCAGAGTCTGTTCTCAGGTCAAGACAAACCCACCCTCCGCAAAGAGAGCCCTTTTACGACACCCCCCACAAGGCCATTTCTTGGCCTCTTCTGCACAAAGCTGTGCTGATGGTGAGCACTGGTAAGCACTGATTTCTCAGCCTCCAGAGGGAAGCCCTTTCCCCTGCTGCGCTCAGCATGGCTGGGGGGCATCATATTCTCAGTGACATCAGCGGAAGTAGAGGCAGCCCCATGGTCAAGCCAGGGCAGTCCACTTCATGGGGGCCGAGCTCAGCTGCAACCCCCCCACCCCATCAGTGTCCAAAGGAAGATGCCTGCGGCTCAACGGGGCCAGGTCTGGTGGGTGCCTTCACAGCAGCTGCATGCATTTATCGAACAGTCGGAGAGGCTGGCTGGGGGGCGCCCACTCCTGCCGCTTCACCTTGAGGCGGGAGCCCCTGTGCGTCCGCGCCAGCCGATTGGTGAGGTGCCGTGCCGGGGCCAGGACGGCTCTGCCCACATCAATGCAGCTGCAAGAGGGCAAAGAAATAGGAACAGGTTAGCTCTCCCTGCCTCTGGGGAAACGGGGTGGGGAATTCTATTGTGTGTTTTTTTTGCCAAGGGTTTTGGATAAAAACGCTCAAGAACGGGTCCGCCACTAGGAATGGGAACGGGAAGGACCCTGGTTCGAATCTCACCTCTGCCACACAGACTCTTGCTAGGCTGTTTCAGCAAAGTCATAATTTCCTCAAAACAAAAAAAATTCCTTCCAGTAGCACCTTAAAGACCAACTAAGTTAGTTCTTGATATGAGCTTTCGTGTGCATGCACACTTCTTCAGATACTTCTTCAGCCGCTGCCCAATGAACAGGCCACTCACTTGGATTGCTTGCCCTCTGCTTCCATGCAACCTGGAGGCCTCTGCAGGATGAAACATGAGGAGGAGACGTAGCCAGAGAGAACCTCCTCTTCCACCTCGTTGGGACCCTTCGTCCTCCGGAGGAACCGGGCCAGCCTGCAAGGAGAAAGAGGCTTAGAAGCCAGAGACGTCCAGCCCACACCACCCCTCCAGTCAGGAAGCTGAGGGAAAGGATTTAGCCCCGTGGCAGTCTGCCTTCCTTGCATGCAGGCTGTCCCGGGTTCAAGGGCCAGCGTCTCCAGGTATGTCTGCCTAAAACCCTGGAGAGCTGCTGGTCAGTGTAGACCAGCCTTTCTCAACCTGTGGGTCCCCAGATGTTGTAGAACTACTACTCCCATCACCCCTAGCTAGAAAGGCCAGAGCTCAGGGATGATGGGAGTTGTAGTCCAACAACATCTGGGGACCCACAGGTTGAGAACCCCTAGTGTAGACAATACTGAACTGGCTGGACCAATGGTCTGGCTTGGAACAGGGCAGCTTCCTGTTTAATCTAGCTCTTCCTTTTCAGAACCATCTACTTTATTTTCAGGGGAAGGACTTCAGCTTAGTGGCAGAGCACCTGTGTCAGGGACTGGGTAGAAGAGGAATGGTGGAGACCTCCTGCCCAGCCTGACCCTTCCAGAGAAGATGAAGACAGTTCAGAATTACAACAGGGCTTTGAGGGAGGTCCCAGCTCAGAGGAAGACAAAGGGGAAAGCTGGGAAATAATGGGAGAGGAGGAGGAGGAAGAAGAAGCACCAGAAGGGAGACAGTTGATGGACTCAGTGTCTTTAGAAAGCATTGAAGAGCCCCCTTCTCCCAGAACCTGGCGAGCATTGAAAGTAGGAGAGCAAAGGTCTCAGAAGCAAAGGGCCCTCAGCACCACCCGTAGGGGACAAGGTGACGAATGAGGAAGTGGGAGAAAAAGGGGCGGAGAGTCACTCAGGGCAGCACCATTACAGTGGTACCTCGGGTTAAGAACTTAATTCGTTCTGGAGGTCCGTTCTTAACCTGAAACTGTTCTTAACCTGAGGTACCACTTTAGCTAATGGGGCCTCCTGCTGCCGCTGCGCCGCCACCATGCAATTTCTGTTCTCATCCTGAAGCAAAGTTCTTAACCCAAAGTACTATTTCTGGGTTAGCGGAGTCTGCAACCTGAAGCGTCTGTAACCTGAGGTACCACTGTATTCCAAGAGGCTGCATTCCCAAGCCTCTCTCTGTTAATACTGAATAAAAAATCAGATAGTAAGGACTTTTCCTTGTCTTACCCAGGGCTGGAATTAGGTTTGACGAGGCCCTAAGCTACTGAAGGTAATGGGGTCCTTTATATGTCCAGCTGTCCTTTGTCAACAACAAATTGTCTCTATTTTTTGTGTTGAATATATGCTATATGGTAATTTATGGACCTAATACGTATCTAAAGCCATTTGCACATAAAATTTTATCAAAGTAACTGTTGAACTGAAATACAATTAAGAAGTATATTAATAGTGAAATAATTATTACATATAGAAATGAGCAAACCTGTGACATTTTTAGGGAGCAGGCTAGCAGGCGGGACCCATTATTTACATCACAGGAGCCTACACAGCACAGAACACTGTTGCTGCATGTAGGTTTTATTTGATTTGTTTTTTATCTTCTATTTTGGAAATGTACATCCAGGGTTTTTTTCCTTTAATTTTTTGGGCCCCCCCCAAGAGAGTGGGGCCCTAAGCTATAGCTTATTTAGCTTATATGTAAATCCGGCACTGGTCTTATTCGTTCCTGGCAAGCTGTCATGGGGTTTGGTTCCTCTGGCACCTGATACAGTCTCCCTCGCTGGAAGTCTTCCAAGGAAGGTTGGACCAGCATCAGTTGAAAACGTCCCAAGAAGCGGGTTGAAATGGGTGTGGCCCACAAGACCCCGCCTCCTCCAAGTCTACAGGCTATGGAGCCTCCTTCCCAGCAGTTTCCTCCCCATCAGTTCAGCTGCTCGGCCCCAGGGATGGTGCAATTTGGATGGGGTGGGGGGAGGAAAACACCTGCACTTACCTGCGGGTGCAGTTGCAGTGGAAGAGGGTGCGGGAGTCCACATTGTGGAGCTGGTATTTGACCTCGTTGGGCCCGATCCTGTACGGGCACTGGTCCAGGCGTCGGTAGCAGCTGCAGCTCCGCGACTGGGCTGGTGAGGAAAGCGGGAAGCAGTTAAAACCAGGAGGAGCCCACAATCCCAGAGGTAGTAGTCAAGCCCCTGCAGACCCTCCAAGTGTCCCTTATTTTCCAGGGACAGTCCCAGATTTACAGAAGCCGTCCCGGTTTCTGATTTGATGCCGGAATGTCTCGCATTTCCTTAGGATGTCCCTATTTTCATCGAGAAATACTGGAGGGTATGGAGTTATGCAAGCCAAGGAGACAAGTATCTAGACATCTGAATCTCTTGCAGCATTGAGGTTAAATTCAACAGTGTAAATAAGTTTTGACAGATGTAATAACGGAATACAGAATGGTTTGGTTTATATAAAATATGCAAAGATTTATGTTATGCAAAATGAACCATGGAAACAGAAGAAAGGAAGCCATTGATATTTTAAGGTTATTTAAATGGATGCTCCAAAATGTAAGAGAGAAAATTTAATAAAAATTAGGGGGGCGGGGAATAGAAGACCATTCATATTCTAACACAGTCGGGTGGGGGACGAACTATATCTCTCTCACGATCTGCTCTCTTGCTCCCCACCCCATTCCCAAATACTTCTACATTAGGGAACCTCCTAAAAACCACCCCCCGCCAGAAAGCACAGACACAACCCCCCCCAAGCCATTTACTCACCTAGTTTACCCGGTTTACGAGTGCGGTTGTGTTTGCTGGCGTTAGACGACGACACTGCTTCCTGCCCTGCCTCGTTGGGTAGCCTTGTGGCGATCGCACCAGTTTGCTGCACATCTGAATGTGCCGTCGTGTGAACGCCTCCTGACCTGAACAAGTCTGGTTTTGATGTAGTCCTGAGGGTGGGTGGCAAAGGCACTCTCTCCTTGTTCACGGAGACCACTCCCGGACTGGTGCGTACTGGGAAGTGTGCGATCCTATCTGGCTTGGAGGTCAGGATCGGCCGAGTCACAGAACCTGAAGCGCCTGGGTGTTCCGGGTGCGGCCGCAGGCTTTCTGCGGCATCCTGTTCTGGATGTTTCCGGTGTTTCCGGTTCTTCTTCCCGCCGTGCTTCCTGCCCTTGCCCCAATGCCTTCTGGGTGGGGGTGGAGGCGTGACAGGGCTGGAGCTCTCGACGTATGGCAAGGCGGCATGGTACTGGCTCTGCTCCACCAAGCGAGCCAATGGCTTCAGGCCATACTCCTTGCACCTGGAAAGGCGAGGTGGAGGAGGAGGAGTTAAGACAAGGAGTGATGTCTTGACATTTAATCCCACTTCTGACACCAATGATGCGTGTGAATCCAAGCCAGCAACAGGCCTTTTAAATAATATACTGCTTCAGGCATTTTTGAAAAGATATCCATTATTGAAAGCTAAAAAGAAGATAAAGTCCCTACCAGAGAAGAATGGCAGATCAGGTTGATGGATTATGCTGAAATGGCTAAAATGACTGGAAGAATCAGAAATCAGGAAGACCAAATTGTATTATGAAGGAATGGGGAAAATTTATAACTTATCTGTCAGGGGCTCAGGAGCAGAGGCGCAGGGGAGAGAGGAAATGGAGAGCGAAGGGGAAGAATCTGAGGGCAGCGGAGGGCAGAATGACAGTGACCCGAGAGATTCCATAAGCCTCTCCAGTGAATCAGAAGATTCCCAGAAGGGGGCGCCGATGGCCAGGGCAAGGGGGGTCCCAGGGGGGACACACCAGAAGCAGGGGGCCAGCGGAGACTCCCAAAGCAGTAGCTGGAAATCAGGGCCAGCTTCCCCACCGGAGCGTAGTGGGGGGGCAGAGCCCCATAGGTCAGAGTCAGTGTCTCCTCCGGCAAGCAGGGAGGAGGAGTCAAGCCCAGCTGGCATCCCCGAAGAGGGAAGCAGCGACAGGAGCAGTATAACGGTCAGGAGGAAGGTGGCAGGCTGGGCGCGCGCGCCAAGTTCAAATGTACAGGCGCGCGGGACAGCAGAAAGCACGGATTGGGAACCAGGTCCTAAAGCTCGCCGGAGGGAGGGGGAAGACTCAGGGGAGTCAGCCTCAGAAGAGTCTAGGAAGGGCAAGACCTCGGCGGGCAAGCGGACCCAGAGGAAGAGGAGCAGAGGAAGAGGTGGAGCAAGGCTAGGGTCTTAAACTGGTGTCTGGGGGGAGGAGACTCAGACGGAGCTTCGGCGGTCTAGGGTTTAAGACGTAGAGCTGCGCGCCGTGGCTGTAAATGAGAAACTGAACTTCAATAAAAGCTATTTAATATAACGACGGACTGGCGTTGGTCCTCTGTGAGCTGGGACCAGGGGCAGCTCTGACATTATCTTAAAGACCATTGTAAAGAGTTAAAATTGTTAGTAGGACTGAAAATATCACTTGTAGTTTTCGAACATTTTGGAAGTCAAACGGACTTCCAGAACGGATTAAGTTTGGTGCTTTTGTTTTTGCTATTTGGCGTTTTTGTTTTTGAGGCTTTTTTGGTTAATTGGTTTTGTGACTGTGTGGAACCCAGTTCAGCTACTGATTGATTGTGTGACTGTGTGGATAAAAGCTCCCCATCCAAATGATGACTATCATCAGTGCAGGTAAGAAAAAAATAAGGTATTATAGTATAGTACATTGATTATTGCTTTCATTTTATGTATCAGTGGCCTCGTTAGACAGTAAAATCCATGTTAAATTGCTGTTTTAGGGGTTGATTTAAAAAGTCTGGAACGGATTAATTCATTTTGCATTACTTTCTATGGGAAAGCGCGCCTTGGTTTTGGAACGCTTTGGTTTTGGAATGGACTTCCGGAACAGATTGACTTTGAGAACCAAGGTACCACTGTAAATAGATAGACAGATGATAGATAGATAGATAAAAAGTAAAAAGGATACAAATATAAAGTTATAGATATATATAATTGTTCAGTGCACAGGGTAAAATAAGATGAGCGCCACCTAGAGGGAAAGCAACCCCCCTATAGTCAGGGAAGACCAGAGAGAGCCAAACACTCACCCACCCCACCAATGCCATTCCAGGCATTGCTCAGAGTTCTCCAAGACAAAGCAGGGAATCTCCAGTAGGTTGAAGAAGCTGATGCCCACGAGGTTGGAGATGGTGTCGTTTTGATCCAACAGGCACTGCTTGAACCTGTCAATGGAAGCGGAGCGACCATCAGTGCTGGTTTACACAGGGCAATTGGCATGGGAGAGAGACAGGGATGTGGTTCTCTCCTTAGCCCTCCCCAAGTCCCTTCTTGGCAGGCTAGCCTGTCACACAGGACAACTTCAAAGCTTCCACTTTGTTATTATTACTGATATTTTATTGATCACATTCCACATATGGCTTTTTAAAAAAAATTATTTACAGAATATGTGTTTAAAAATAATATGAAGCGGGCCACCCTTGGAGGCTTATGCCCATTGGGCAGAAGGCAGGGAGTCCAGCAGTAGGGGGCGCCAGAGCCAAAGGGAGGCAGAGCCAATTCATACTAGTTTTGCCCCGTCCTCCTCCATACGGAGTCTGGGCAGCGCTGAAGAGATGCAGGAGGAGGCTGATAGGCAAAACCGCCCCCTGGATTGGTATGAGGTCAGAAGGGGGCTTGCCGAGGGCACAGTTCAATGGGGCAGCACCCCCTTCAGCCTAATGGACCAGCTATTCACCCAGCTGGGAAAGTCTGCTGGAGCAGAATATGTATTGAACCATTGACAATCATTCTGTGCGCTTCCTCCTCATTCAGAGGCAGTAAGGCTTCTGAATGCTAGAAACCGCAGGAGGGGAGGGAGCTCATGTGCAGAAGTCTTGCTTGAGGGTTTCCCAACATGCATCTGGCTGGCCGCTGCGAGAATGGAATGATGAATATACCATATTTTTCAGGTATACGACACCCCTGTGTATAAGACACCCCTTATTTTTGGGGAACTCAAAATCAAGAAAATGCACTATCCGTGTATAAGACGACCCCTTATTTTAAACTTCAAAAATTTAGGAAAAAATATAGTCTTATACATGGAAAAGTACGTGTGTGTGTGTGTGTGTGTGTGTGTATTCTATTTTACAATTTAAAATACTCATCCATAAAATATCAGTGACTTCCCTTCTCTTTCCATGGTTCATTTTGCATAACATAAACCCCTGCATACTTTACAAAAGCTATCCCATTCAATATTCCATTATTGCATCCATCAAAACGTATTCACACTGCTGAATTTACCTTAATGCTGCCAGCGTTCTCAGGTGTACACAGTTTCCTCCCATATATTCAATAAACGTTTTCCAATCTTCTCTAAACATATGTTGTTCTTGTTCTCTCATTCTATATATTATGTCTGCAAACTCCACATATTCTGTCAACTTAAATTGCCATTTTTCTTTGGTTGGGACCTCACTCGTTTTCCATTTTGGGGCTAACAAAACACGGGTCACAGTACAGTGGTACCTCGGGTTAAGTACTTAATTCGTTCCGGAGGTCTGTTCTTAACTTGAAACTGTTCTTAACCTGAAGCACCACTTTAGCTAATAGGGCCTCCCACTGCCGCTGCACCTCCGGAGCACAATTTCTGTTCTCATCCTGAAGCAAAGTTGTTAACCCGAGGTACTATTTCTGGGTTAGCGGAGTCTGTAACCTGAAGCATATGTAACCCAAGGTACGACTGTAGTAGCATACATAACCTTTTTTGACACCTGGGAATTTCAGTCTGAATTATCCCCAACAAAAAGTACTCTGGGTTTTTTTGTTTGGAAAAGTACTTTTAAAGTTTTTTTCCAATTCATTATGGATTATTTCCCAATACTCTTCTCCTTTTACAGGTCCACCACATATGAAAGAACGTACCCTCAACCTCTTTGCATCTCCAGCACTTACCTGATTCAGTCTTATACATCTTAGCAAGCCTACTCAGAGTTAAACACCATCTGTAAATCTTTTTCCAGTAGTTCTCCTTCAAAGAATAACCTGCTGAAAACTTCAAATCGCTTTTCCAAAGTTTCCCCCAGAGCTTAAAACCTATAAAGGTAAAGGTACCCCTGCCCATACGGGCCAGTCTTGCCAGACTCTAGGGTTGTGCGCTCATCTCACTCTATACGCCGTTTACCTTCCCGCTGGTAAGCGGTCCCTATTTATCTACTTGCACCCGGGGGTGCTTTCGAACTGCTAGGTTGGCAGGTGCTGGGACCAAACGACGGGAGCGCACCCCGCCGCGGGGATTCGAACCGGCGACCATGCGATCGGCAAGTCCTAGGCGCTGAGGTTTTACCCACAGCGCCACCCGCGTCCCTTTTAAAAAACCTATATTGTGCCTTATATCTATTGCCCAGTGTGTCATGGAGGCTTCCACCAGCTCGTCTTTCATTTCCCTGCTCCAACCCAACTTTAAAAGGTCTCAAGCAGAGAGGTCTTGTCTGGGCTGATAAATCAAGTTCCATTTCAGTCCGTGCTGGAGACTGAACCGCAGGCCTTTGGAGCATGCTGCAAAATAGCTAAAGAAAGAAAAACCTCATGCAGGGTTAAAGATTTGGGGCTTCTGGCATCCGAAGCGAGAGCAGAGCCGGATTTAGGTTTGACGAGGCCCTAAGCTACTGAAGGTAATGGGGCCCTTTATATGTTCAGCTGTCCTTTGTTTTTTATGTTTTTGTTTTTTATGTTGAATATACGCTGTATGGTAATTTATGGACCTAATAGGTATCTAAAGCCATTTGCACATGTTGCCATGTAACCAGTCCATGCAGAATGTAAAGGTAAAGGGACCCCTGACCGTTAGGTCCAGTCGTGACCGACTCTGGGGTTGCGACGCTCATCTCGCTTTATTGGCCGAGGAAGCCGGCATACAGCTTCCAGGTCATGTGGCCAGCATGACTAAGCCGCTTCTGGTGAACCAGAGCAGCACACGGAAACACCATTTACCTTCCCGCCAGAGTGGTACCTATTTATCTACTTGCACTGGCGTGCTTTCGAACTGCTAGGTTGGCAGGAGCTGGGACTGAGCAATGGGAGCTCACCCCGTCGCAGGGATTCGAACCACCGACCTTCTGATCGGCAAGCCCTAGGCTCTGTGGTTTAACCCACAGCGCCACCCGCGTCCCATGCAGAATGTAGGCACCCTATATATAGAAATGAGCAAACCAGTGATATTTCAGGGAGCAGGCTAGCAGGTGGGGCCCATTACTTACATCATAGGAGCCTACGCAACACAAAACACTGTTGCTGTATGTAGGTTTTATTTTATTTGTTTTTTATCTTATATTTTGGAAATGAACATCCAGGTTTTTTTCCCTTTAAATTTTTTGGGGCCCCCAAGAGAGTGGGGCCTTAAGCTATAGCTTGTTCAGCTTATACGTAAATCCGGCACCAAGCGAGAGCCACGCTCTAGACCAGCGCCACCCAATACTCACCGCTCATCACACTCGCAGTGAGATATTGTGTGCAGGCGGAAGTTGCGCATCCCGAATTTGTAGCCCAGCGCAGAGATCTGAGCTTCGCACATGTCGTGCTCCCGACAACACACGTCTGGGCCTTGGAAGACGCCTGCAAGAGAAAATGCTGAGATCAGGCTAAGGAAGGGTGTGAGAGCTCCAGAGCTTGTGGCCGAGCAAGGGCTGGATGTAGTGACCACAGGAGCAAGGAGACAGCCAGGGGAAGAAGACACTCGCAACATTGATTCCTGATCATGCCACCCCCAGCCATATGATAGCGGGGCTACCATTGGCTGCGGCTCATGGGAGCTGTAGTCCACCCAAAGGCACCCGATTATCAAAGGCTGCTCTAGTGATCGGGGGGGGGGGGGGTTGCATCCATCCACAGCACAAATGCGGAGATCTTGTCTACTCAGAGTAGGTGCCACAGTGATTGAAGCAACAGTGACTCCTACAGCAGCTACATGGCTAGGGCTGGGCAAAATATCATCCAAAACCAGTTTGAAGTCCATCTTGTGATACTGGTTTCATATTTTTTGACCTGGCAATATATCATGAATCGTGTGCGTGCTATGCAAAAATCACAATGTGCGGAAAAACCGCAAAGACAGCCAATCACAATGTTTAGCTGGTGATACATCACAATGTTGTAAACCATGATGGTAGAGTAGAAGAGGAAAATAAGGAGTTAATCTGGACAGGAAACAACCCTTGTTTGTAGACACTGAATGAGCAAAGAGTCCATTGTACTTGGGTGCATCAAGAATTTTTATACCTTAATTGGCAACTTTTGGAAACTGACAAAGCTACCACGGAAGCCCTTTACACTACCGCCCCGGAGGGCTTTCTCCCAGCTGACTGAACCTTCTTTCCCATCCGGTTCTATCTGTGCTGCCCACTTGCAAAATGACATCATACTTAATTGCTTAATAAGATGCTGCAATACTATACAGAGAACTGTGTTCCTAAACTGATCGTCCCCGCTCCCAAATGCTGGAGGCAATCTTTAATCTCACTGGAGCACCAAGAATCTCAAATAGAAACACGTTTCTAGTCCTCATGGCTGCAAAAATCAGTCTCAAGATGGAAGGGTGAAAAGGACAGCACACAAAGTCATTGGACACTAAGCCTGGAATCACAGTATTCCAGCTCACAAATAGTGCATTTGGGGACACGGGTGGCGCTGTGGGTTAAACCACAGAGCCTAGGAATTGCCAATCAGAAGGTCGGCGGTTCGAATCCCCACGACGGGGTGAGCTCCCGTTGCTCGGTCCCTGTTCCTGCCAACCTAGCAGTTCGAAAGCATGTCAAAGTGCAAGTAGATAAATAGGTACCTCTCCAGCGGGAAGGTAAACGGCGTTTCCATGTGCTGCTCTGGTTTGCCAGAAGCGGCTTAGTCATGCTGGCCACAGGACCCGGAAGCTGTGTGCCGGCTCCCTCAGCCAATAAAGCGAGATGAGCGCCACAACCCCAGAGTCGGTCACGACTGGACCTAATGGTCAGGGGTCCCTTTACCTTTAACTTTATTGCTGCATTTGGGGCTGAACGGACTACAGTGCCATCTAACAGGATTTTTGAATTTGGTGGGAGGGAGCATTCTTCATTTGATGAACCCAAGGACATTTGAACTGTCCTCCCTCCTTGTACCCACTGCTCAGCCCACCACCAACAGGACTTGCAATGCCTCCCCCCCCCCCCCCCAGCAAATCATGGCTCTGGAGTAGCAGCAATTAAAAAAAATGGAGAAACTGCGATACCACCACTGCCCCCTTGTGGTCTCGGGTGTGTGCACTGCAGCACATGAGAAGCAACAGTTCTGCTCTTTCGACAGTGGAAAGAGGTTTTGCCAAAGGATCCTTATGAAATGTATTTGATTTACTGTATACCCAGCCCTTCTTCCCAAACAGGTCCCAGACGGCAAACATCAAAAGTGATGAAGCAATAAAGGCATTGTCAACTAAACCGGGCGTTAGGCAACATAGCTGTTATCTGTTCCAAACTTTTGGTACAAACTTTTGGTACCCAAAAATCTGACAGCCATGATGGTGCAATGAAATCAACGTCCTGGATGAACTCAGATGTGCATCAGAGGAGGGGGCTCAAGAGAAGATCTGTGGTGGCTCGGTGGCAGAGTCCCTGCTTTGCATGCTGAAGGTCACAGGTTCAATCCCCAGTGTCTCCAGATAGGAGTGGGAGAAAACAGACCTGGAAGAGCTACTGCTAGTATAGTCTATAATCTGACTCCAGATAAGGCAGTTTCCTAGATTCCATTTTTGGCTTCTCCCCACACTGGATGAATAGCAGGTGAATTAGGGCCAATGGGGCACTGCCCCATCAGTCTGGCCCCTCTCACCCCCCCCCACCTGCCTGCCTTTGGACTTGCAGTTGTTCCAGGGGGTGGCCCTGCCTGCCACCTTCCTCCTCTCAATATTGCCCTCGTAGAACTCAGCAAGGAGGAGGGCAGGAAAAAAGCTAGAATTAAGTTGGCCCTGCAGGTCATTAACTTTGGCTCCCCCTACTAGTGGCCTCCTGCGCCATCACAAACAGGGTGGAGGCCAATAGTAGGAGGAGCCAGAGTTAATGACCTGCAGGGACCTGCCCTAAAACTAATTTTGCAGCCCATCCTTTCCGAAGCCATCTAAACTTATGCGACACCAGCCACATCTAGTGGCAGTGATTTCCGCAAGTCAGTCGTGCGTTGTATGAAAGTTGCCCAGTGCCTGAATAATTGCTCATATGCCCCCAATCCCACGTGAGCGGCACCAGAATAGTTTCATATTACAGAAGAAGAGACTTTTAAAAGAAGAAGAGGAAGAAGATATGAGCACTATAACTGATCAGCCTCCAGAATCAGCCTTCCAGCTTCAAAACTACAGTTGTTTTGTCTGGAGACAGCGCCTGTTCCTTCTTCCAAAGAAATCTCCCGGTTGGCGGCACTGACTCAGCAGGATACGTGCAACGCTCTGCACATGCTCAGAAACTCTTGCTTAGTTCTCCACGTTCCAGGACCGTTTTGAAATCAGCTGCTCTTGCGGTCAAAGGAGCCAACTCCTAAGGCTTGTAGGAGCTTTGACCCCCACAATAAAATATTTAAAGGGGCTGGACCCCGATAAAGTTGATGGGCATTCCCATTCAAATTGTGCGTGTGCGCACTGCGTCGTGTGATCTATTATGGAGGGTGGGGCTTACCCCACAATATTTTTTTTCAAGTTGGCACCCTCTGTACCCATCCGACGCCAGCCAAAACTGAATCCATCCCATTTCCATCACACGAACACCGCTGCCGCCGCCGCCCCGTCCCACTTCCAACTATCCTTACCCAGTTCGGTGAAGTTCCCTGCCGAGTCGCCAGCTCCGCACCAAAGCGTCCCGGGCATCGTCCAACCCCTCCGGACCCGCTTGTGCCCCCGATCTTCCAATACCCCCCGACGGCCAGCTCCGGCCTCTCCCGGAGGCGCCCTGCAGGAGTCTTTCTGCGCGTCTAAGGCGGGGAGCCGTCGCTGCAGCTCCGGCCCCCAGTAGGAGCGTATCAAAGGGCTGCCGTGGGGGTCCCTGGCACGCCGCTCCTTCGACGGCTCCCGGGCCCCGTCGGTGGAGGAGGCGCGCACAGCTCCGCGTAGCGGCTGATAAGGGACGGCTCCGTCCTCCAAGCGCAGCCCTGAAGGCGCCCCCGGGAGTCCCACGCGCTTTGGACCAGCGCGGGCGGGAGCCCGTCGGGGCGCCGCCACAAGAAGCTCAGGAACCGGGAGCGGCCGTCGCCGTCGGGGGCGACCGTGTGGCAGAAGGTGTTGGCTTTGTTCCAGGAGCCCAGGGCGCCCGGAGGCAGCGTGAGGGCGAGGGCCAGCAGGGAGGCCAAGAGGGGCCGCAGGGACGTCATGGGAGCCTACAAACACCTTCCTTCCCCGACGCTAGCTGGCTAGTTAGTTCGTATTGCCGGCGCACGCTCTCCTCGACTCCTTCGGAAGCCAGCCGATGAATGAATGAAGTACTCCCTCCCACCGCCGCGGGTTTTCACAAGAAGAGAACTCGGCCGCTCATTGGACGGATCTGGGCAACCCCCCCTCCTCGCGCAGCCGCGCCCCTCCGCTGTGACTCATTCAAACACGCGGATTAGGTTCGAATAGAGCGCTCTGACGCAGGGGGAGGGATGGGCGTGGGAAAGCCACCTGCGGAGGGCACGCCCACTTAGAGTAGGCGCCCCCCCCCTCAGAAGACAGCCCGCTGGATCAGTTGTTGTTTAGTCGTTTACTCGTGTCCGACTCTTCGTGACCCAATGGACCAGTCCAGCATTTCGCATGATGAATTCTGCATATAAGTTAAACAAGCAGGGAGACAATATACAGCCTTGTCGTACTTCTTTCCCAATTTTGAACCAATCAGTTGTTCCATATCCAGTTCTAACTGTAGCTTCTTGTCCCACATAGAGATTTCTCAGGAGACAGGTGAGGTGATCAGGCACTCCCATTTCTTTAAGAACTTGCCATAGTTTGCTGTGGTCGACACAGTCAAAGGCTTTTGCATAGTCAATGAAGCAGAAGTAGATGTCTTTCTGGAACTCTCTAGCTTTCTCCATAATCCAGCGCAGGTTTGCAATTTGGTCCCTGGTTCCTCTGCCTCTTCTAAATCCAGCTTGCACTTGTGTGGCCCAAATAGCAGGGGGTAAAACTAGGTTTTATTTCACCCGGATCAAAGACTCACTTTGGCACATCTCCACACTCATTTGTGCACACACGCACACAGAGAGAGAGAGGGGGGGGGGAGAGGGAAAGGGAAAGGGAGAGACTGGGAGCCTCAATGGTGTCCCTTGAGATAAGACCATTGCCGGATCAGACCCTCTGGACCGCTCTAGCCCACAGTCAGAAACTGTGGAGATGCTTCCAGGTAGGCCTTGGGGACCACAATCCTCTGTCTCCTGCATCTTGTACTCAGAGGTAGACTGCTCTTTAGCAGAGAGGCTCCATTCCACCAACTTTTATTGGATACTGGAACTGTCATGCTGGGTCACACTGGTTGTAAGTAAGGAGGCAGCAGCGGCAACTGAGGTTGGTGGTAGTGTCCCACTTTTTCCAGGTAAATTTTCTTCCGTTTGGGCTCAGTATATGATTGCCGTGATCCAGCAACGCAGCTCTTATGAACCATGATGGTTTGGAGCAGAACCTCCATATTCAGGAGGCATCTACCTCTGAGTACCAAGTGGATGGGCAGCTGTGCATGTCCCATTAGCAAGCATCCCAGAAGCATCTGAGAGACTGGTGTGTGTGTGTGTGTGCTGGGGGGTTATAAGTAAAGAGGCAGTGTGGTGCACTGGTTAAAGTGGTCAGACTAGGACCTGGGTTCAAATCTCCACGCAGCCATTTGAAGCTCACTGGGTAACAATGGAGCAGCCTCTCTCAGTCCAGCCTGCCTCACAGGGTTGTTGTGGGGTTTAAATGACAAGAGGGGAGAACTGTGTGGGGAAAAGTGGAATACAAATGCAATCAGTCAATAGTAGCTAAACAGCTAGTGTGAATTATCACAAAGGTATTCCCTTTAAACAAATATAATAAAATAAACATCCTGGTTTCCATCAATGGGCTCCTTAATTCAATCAATGGGCAGGGTATAAATAATAAAATTATTGTTATAACACACCCACCAACATTTTTCTGTTGGAAAAAGGGAGGTTCTAAATAATAATAATAATAATAATAATAATAATAATAATAATATTTATACTTTGCCCATCAGACTAGGTTGCCCCAGCCACTCTAGGTGGCTTCCAACATATAAAAAAACCACACAACACAACATCAAACATTTAAAACCTTCCCTATACAAGGCTGCATTCCTATGTCTTCTAAAAGTTGTGTCTCCTTGGCTCAGGGGCCACATAACTCCATACGCTCCAATGAAAATAGGGACATCCTACCACACCCTCCAACATTTCTCTGATGAAAATAGGGACAGCCTAAGGAAAAGTGGGATCCAATTAAAAACTGGGACGGCTTCTGCAAACCCAGGACTGTCCCCGGAAAATAGGGACACTTGGAGGGGCTGTTATTGTTATTATTATTATTATTTGCTCGCCCGAAACCTCATCCAGGGCCTATTTGCCACATCAAACTTCTCTCACAAAAAATCGGCAGCAATAAAACTTCCCCTTCCATCAGTGCTAACAAGGAGAGGTGGTGGATTATTTCTTCAAAAAATAACATTAAAAATTGCTTCGAAGTTTGCTAAGAAGTCACGCGGCATCATTTGAAGTCTCCAGGGAAGCGAAACGATCTCTCTTTCCCAAGGCAGCTGCTCCCTCCATCTGCCACCCAGCCCAGAGCTCCAGATTTGGTTGCCTTCCACCTTTCCTCTGGCACAGAACAGGCCACCTGTGACTCATCCTCATCATCCGATGGTGATGCTTGGGAAAGAACACGCCCTCCTCACCGCATGGAGGCAGGCAGAGCAGCAGGTCCAAAACGAAGGGGGAAATCCTGGGAAATCCTGTGTGGCAGAGGAACATAGAAAGCTGCCTTATGCTGACTGCTATACCAGCTAGCACAGCGCTACCTGCACTGACTGGCAGCAGATCCCCAGGATTTCAGGCATGGTTCTCTCCTGGTCCTCCCGGGAGATGCTGGGCATTCTGCTGAACCACTAAGCTACAGCCCTCAGTGGCGTAGCGTGGGTTGTCAGCACCCGGGGCAAGGGAAGTAATTTGCGCCCCCTAACCCGCGGATTTGCGTCCCCTAACCCGTGGATTTGCACCCCCTAACCTGTGGATTTGCCCTAACCCCAGATGTTGCGCCCGGTGCGGCCGGCCCCCCCTGCACCCCCCACGCTACGCCACTGACAGCCCTTTCCCAAAGCCTTCTCATGCTCCAGGGGAGAGCATCAGAATAATGAGCAGAAAAACCACAGAAGCCTTTCCAAACGAACACCATGGACATATGTTCTGGGAGGAACAGGGATCTCTGCCTATCTGATGGGAAAGGATCACCGCTACTCAGCTAAGCCAAGATTGGGGCAGAGAGAGAGGTCATAGCAGGACACGTTTCATGCAGAAGGTGTTAAGTTTGATGCCTGTCATTCTCATGTTCCAGCAGCGCTGGTAATATGTCAGGCATGTGGGCATAACCAGGGGGGCGGGGGGGGGCAGCTGCCCTCCTCATAAATCAAGTAAATAAATGGCAATACTTAAAGTTAGAGGTAGGTAGCCATGTTGGTCTGCTGTAGTCGAAACAAAATAAAAAAATTCCTTCCAGTAGCACCTTAGAGACCAACTAAGTTAGTTATTGGTATGAGCTTTCGTGTGCATGCACACTTCTTCAGATGTATCTGAAGAAGTATCTGAAGAAGTGTGCATGCACACGAAAGCTCATACCAATAACCAACTTAGTTGGTCTCTAAGGTGCTACTGGAAGGAATTTTTTTTATTTTGTTTTGGCAATACTTAAGTAAAAGTAGAAATAACCAGAAATCGAAATGCTCTCTGGGCTCACGTGGGTGATGTTGTAGAGCATTCTAAGTGACACAGCTGGCAACCTGGCTGAGCGATAGCAAAAAAGCAGTTAAAAGAGCTGAACATAAGGAGATCTCGTAAAAGAGGTGGAGGTTTTTTTACCCTACCACAAAAAAGGCTCTCTTCATCTCTCTTGCTCAGCCATGCACCACTCGTGCCATAGAACGGTCATTCAGTACCTTGAGGAGAATAAAGATCTAGCTACGTTTGGCGATGACGGGAGCATCTCAAGGAGCTATTCCTACTGAGTGCGTACAGAAAAGCTGCATTGGGGGGGAAAGAAGGAGGGAGTTGAGAAGGAACTGCAGGAAAGGTTTTCAGCAAATCCAAGAAAACTTGCTTTAGTTTAGATTTTTTTTAAAAAAAACCTCACGATGAAAAAAGGCGTGTTCTTTGTAATTCTGCAAAATATACACATTAAACACATAAAAGGTACTCCCTGATTTTATTATTATTATTATTTACCTTCCCACTTTTCAAATGACTGAAGATTTGGACAGATTCCCCCCTCCCCAAACACTTTGGGTCAAAAGAAAGCAATTTAAAACAATTGTTGTCAAGAAATTTCATTCCAAATCTGCTGGACAGAGTCAGACAGAGGATGATGACAGACGGGTGTCCGGTGCCCCACCCCCAACATAAATCCCAGCTACTCCCATGGTCAGGCACGAGGAGACGCCAGGGATTGAACCTGGGACCTTCTGTGTGCAAAGCAGATGCTCTAACCACTGACACACACAGCCCTCCCCCTAAAGGTAAAGGGACCCCTGACCGTTAGGTCCAGTCGTGGCCAACTCTGGGGTTGCAGCGCTCATCTCGCTTTACTGGCCGAGGGAGCCAGCGTACAGCTTCTGGGTCATGTGGCCAGCATAACTAAGCTGCTTCTGGCGAACCAGAGCAGCACATGGAAACGCCATTTACCTTCCCACCGGAGTGGTACCTATTTATCTACTTGCACTTTGACGTGCTTTCGAACTGCTAGGTTGGCAGGAGCAGAGACCGAGCAACGGGAGCTCACCCCGTCACAGGGATTTGAACTGCCAACCTTCTGATCAGCAAGCCCTAGGCTCTGTGGTTTAGACCACAGTGCCAGCCACGTCCCAACCCTCCCCCTAAATAGGGGTAAATTGAGGTGGACCCAGCAGGGCAATCTCTGGGCACCAGCCTCATGGGAAGAGGGTTTATTGTATTTACTTGCATCTTCCTTTGTTTTTATGGCACCCAAGTCGATTCCTTCCATCTCAGGGAAAGTTGCTCTGTGTTCAATCTTTGGTTGACGTGGAGCTTTGGGAGATAAGCTGCTGATAATCATATCAGCCTGCCAGTGACTTCTGTTGGCTGGCTGGAGCTGATAGCCTCAGGTGAGTCTCGGATGTTAACCCGCGTGGAGATTATAGCGCTCTCTCTGTA